TTACATGTGTTCCATATGTGTGTGTGTGTGTGTATATGCAAAGCAAATGTTTTCTTTCGGCATGTGTGTTTCTCTAAGTATGCATCCTCTCCCATTATTATGTGGTAAAGTTATATGTATATGGAAAAAATATTCTTTTTTTCTTTTAGGCAATTGGGGTTAAGTGACTTGCCCAGGGTCACACAGCTAGTAAGTGCCAAGTATTTGGTCTGAGGCTGAATTTGAACTTAGGTCCTCTTGACTTCAAGGCCAGTGCTCTATACACTGTGCCACCTAGCTGCCCCTGGAAAAAAATATTCTTGTCATTTATTCTGCTATCCACTGCTGTGACCTGTGGTTCTGAGTGGATAATTATCCAAAACATTCCTTGAACCTGGAGTAGTTTTCAAAAGGGACTCAGGCTACAAATGTAAATGTAGGAGCAATATTTTCCCATTTAAAAGAAATAATTGCTTTCCAGAAGTTTAGAAGTATCCATTTACATGCAAAATTGATTAATTAATTGGTTAATTAATTAACCAAGAGTAATTGCTGGGCCTTCTTTTTTCCTCCTGATTAGCAAAAAAGTATCCTACTGACTTTATGGCCGCGAGAGACCTGACTGAGCTGGTCAGCTGTAATGGCGTTGAGACATGGAGGCTGTGACCCTGAAGAACTAGAGAACAGGGAAGGGCACCTTACCTTCTCCCTAATAGGGCTGGAAGAGCCATTGAACTGAGATCACTCTGAGTATGGTGTTATATTCTCCCTTTTAATAGCAAGAAGGACCTTGGAGTCTTTAATAATAAAATCCAAAATGGCATTCCATTTTAAAACAATTATATTTGCCTTCGGAAAAAAAGCATGCATAGTAAATGATTTTTCATCAAAAATGAAAATTATATTTTGTTTGTGTTAATAAAGTATTTTTTGTTCAGATCACCCAATTAAATGTCAAGGTGAGGAGGTGCAGAATTATACTAAGGAGGAGAGGGGAAGAAAGCTTTCTATTTAAAGTTTGCTATAGCAAATTCTCTACATATGAATAATCAAGAGTTTACTAAGTAAAATATTTTAAAAACAAGGACTCCTAAAGATTAAAATATCAAATAAAAATGAATTTTCTTCCTTAAATGCCAATTATAAAATATAAATATCTACAAAACGGAGGTTTTGCATTAGATGATATCTAAAATCCTCATATCTGAGTCTATGATTCTATTCCAAGTAGGTGAATAATGTCATCAACAAACTATTTCAGAAGATCTAAATAACTACTGGCTATTTTCAATGGATAATATTCTGGAACACCAGATTTGGATCTTAAAAACAAGTCATTTTTATGATATTTGGAATGTTTGTGCACAGTTCAATTCTTTCTACCTAAATTCTATAGGTACCCATATTTTACATTCATGAATCTAGTCAACAAACATTTATTTTCATGAAGGATACTGCTGTCTCTCAATGCTTCCATAATAAACCACCCTAACATTATTCTTTTATTCCAACCATACCCAATTTATCCCTACTATGTTTATGAGTATAAATCTATCTGTATAACCCCATTCAAGATCCTTGCTGCCATGATATGCCAGCCTCCAAGATATTCTCTCTCCTAACTCAATGAGTACAATACCAGGATCACAGTTTTCCCATCTACCTTAACTCCTGTTCTTATATTTGGAGAATTCAATATACATGATGATATACTCTTGAAAACACTGGCCTCAAATTCCATGACCTACATCTTCACTCCACTTTAGCCACCCACAGTAGTAGTCAATAACAGAAATCTCACCATCACCCATAACTATGGCATGTCTATGATCCCAAATTGTGAAATTCTTCTTCCTGATTGAAACAATCTGAACTAAATGACCTCTATGTGTAAGGCACTGTGCATAGCATAATTTGTTATTCATCTACTTCTCCCTCTATCTCATTCCTTCTAAATGTACTCTTTGTCCTTATCAAGAACTTCAGGATCTCCATTCCTTTCTGTTCTCCAAATCTTGCCCCAGTCTCACTTTTCTCTCTTCACAGACTGGGCCCTAAAATTGATTTATACAGTATCCTTCCACCTTTTTGCCCATTTCTTTTGCCTTTCATTCTGTGTTAATAATCTTCAACCCTGGTTTATCCCCACTATCTACCTTTTCCATTCCTCCCAAACTAATGGACACCACTGGATGAAGTTATACAATCTTACAAAGTTGTCCTACAAATTCATGTTATCTATTCCAAATTCCACGGGATCTCACTGCTATTCAGTAACCCTTGTATTCACTCCCCTTATTGAGTCCCCATTGAACTCCTCAAAATAGCTGTTCCACATTTTTTCCTTTCTCCTGAAGTTCCTTGTATCTTCCTACCCCTTCTCTAAGCAGATGACCTTCTTTCCTACTTTACTGAGACATTCAATGTCATCTGTTAAAAGCTCCCCCATTTCTCCTATTCCATTTCACACAATTCAGACATCTTCACCTATCGCCTCTCCTCCTTTGCTCTGGTTTCCAGCCTGTTCCTTTGTTAAAGCTCAACCCTTCCACCTGTGTCCTGATCTTATTCTCTCTCATAAGCTTCAGGATCTTGCCCCAGAAATTATTCAGCTTCAAAATCTCCTTTTCTACTGCTCTTTACTTGCTGTCTAATAAGCATACTTAGGTCTCTTTCATTCTTAAACAACCATATGTTGGCCCTGCCAATTGCTCAAACTTTCATTCTATTAATATATCACTGCCAAGGTTTCTGATACCTCCTCTCTACTGAAACTGCTCTAAGTTTATCATAACTTCAATGTTAAATAATGTGGCTTTTCCTCAGTACTCATCTCCTCCTTGCCCTCTCTAAATGTTTACGCTGTGAACCACTCCCTCTTCCCAGATTCCTTCTCCTCCTTAGGCTTCCATGACATTACCTTTTTCTGGTTCTCTTTATATAACAACTTTCTTTGTCACCTTTCTCTTTTATCATCTCTTCTAACACTGAGCAGCTTGGAGTCAGGAAGACCTGAATCCAAATACAACTTCAGACACTTAGTAGCTGGATGACCTCGGGGCAAGTCACTTAACTGCTCTCTGCCTCAGTTTCCTCAACTGTAAAATGGACATCATAATAGCACCTACCTCCCCAGAGCTGTTGTGAGGATTAAACAAGATATTTGTAAAGTACTTAGCACAGTGCCAGGCACATAGTAGGTGCTTAATAACTGCCTGTTCCTTTGTTCTTCCCTAAGCAGATTTATCTTTTAAGGCTGTGTATGGGAACATATACTTTCTCCCTTTGTGAGCTCATGAGCAACCATGGGTTCAACTACTATTTCTACACAGACTACTTGCAGAACTAGATATCCAAGCCTTATCTTGCTCTTGATTTCCAGTTCTATGTTGCCAGCCACTTACTAGATAGCTCTGCCTTGATGTCCTGTTGGCACCTCAAGCTTCTTCCATTTCTGCAGAGAGAACTACCATCCTCCTAGTCATTCAAGTTCATAATCTTACTGTCACCCTTTACTCTTCCTTCTCTCTCTCCCTCTTCCTCCATTCCCCACATTCAATCAGTTACCAAGGCTTGTCGATTCTCCTTTAACAATCCCTAACACCCATTCTCATTCTCTATACCCACAGGGCACCACGTTAAGTCCTCCTCACTTTTCACCTAGACTATTTTAATAGCCTCCTAATTGGTCTCCCTGCAACCTAATCCATCCTTTATATAGCAGCCAAAACAATCTTCCCAAAGGCCAATCTGACCAAGAACTCTCCTCAAAATAGAAAAAAAAAATGAGGACAAAATATTTCTCAAACTAACATTAAAGGTTCTCCCCAGTCTGGCTCCAACTACCTTTCCAGCATTATCTCACATAACTCCCTGCCTTTATGAGCTCTGTATTCTAGCCAGACTAGACTACTCGGACCCACATGTACAAAAATATTCATAGCAGCTCTTTTTGTGGTGGCAAAGAATTGGAAATTGAGAGGACGCCCATCAATTGGGGAATGGCTGAGCAAATTGTGGTATATGAATGTAATGGAATACTATTGTGCTGTAAGAAATGATGAACAGGCAGACTTCAGAAAAACCTGGAAAGACTTATATGGTCTGATGCTGAGTGAAGTGAGCAGAACCAAGAGGACTTTGTATACAACAACAGCCACGTTATGCAATGACTAATATTGTTAAACTGAACCCTTCTCAGCATTACGAGGATCTAAGACATCTCCAGAGGCCTCAGGATGGAAAATGCTGTGTACATCCAAAGAAAGAACTATGGAAGTCAAATCACTACCACTTATTTTTACCTGTTGAGTTTTGTTTCATCTTTCTGATGGTTCCTCCTACTGGTTTTAATTTTTCACTTACAACTTCACTAATATGAAAATATGTTTAATAGGAATGTAAATGTAAAGCCTATATCAGATTGTGCGCCGTCTTGGGGGAGGGTGGGGGGGAGGAAGGGGGAGAAAAATTTTCAACTCAAAAGCACATGGAAGTGATTGTTGATAAATCAAAATAAATTAATAAAAATTTTTTTTAAATGAATTAGAAAAAAAAATTTAAAAATTAAAAAAATTTAAAAAACTGGACTACTCACACTTCCCAGAACCTGACATTTCATCTCCTTTTAACTCCATGCATTTCCACAGGCAACAACTCCATGGTTAGAATGCATTCCCTCCTCATCTCTCTCAGAAACTTCATCTTACTTCAAGGCTTAGCTAAGCTATGGGACTTTCCCAAATCCTCCCAGCTGTTCCTCCCAGCTGATGCTCTCCCCATGGTCAAATTACTTTGTATTTGTCTCTGTTTTCCCAATTCTAGCACAATGAATGCCCTGCAAAGTATTTAACAAATGCTTGTTGAACTGATGGATAAATTATGTTTTCAAGGAGCTTCCTTATTTATTTTAGAGGAATAAATCAACTTGGGACCAAAATATTTATTTATGCTGATTTCAGTAAAAATCATAGGATCACAGGTTTAGATCTGGAAAGGACATTATAAACCATCTAGTCCAACCCCATCATTTTAAGATGACTTGCCCAGAGTAACACAGCTAGTAAGCATCTCAGTCAAAACTCTAGAATTAGTAAGATTCCAAATCCAGCACAGTATGCTACCCTTCATCATGATATACAGTAGATATAAATATTTAGTCATATTCTCATGATACTAAAATGAAATTGATCAATATTTTTTACATAAAAATAATTATCTAAAACATACCAAGTACACTTGTCATTAGCAGAGAGACTTTATTGTAAAGCCTCACTACCTTGACCCTCTGGTGATATTTCATACTTGTTTTAATCTCTTATTCATTTGGCTTCAATAATCAAGAATTGGATAAAGCTCAAATTCTACTGAATTTTGTGTTAACTTCTATTAGAGAACTCTCCTCCAGAATATCTCCATCCACTGGAGGAGGTGCAGGAGGATGAAGGAAGTGGCGAGTCAGCCACTCACTGGTTCTCACAGCTTTACAGTGCAGGCAAGGCCTCTCCCTGATTTGGTAGCATCCGAGGTTCCTCTGCCTTTGAGCGAGCTTTCTTCTTCTGAGGTTGGTTGGTGTTGGATGATGTTCAGTCTCACTCTCCTTCCAGGAGGAGACTCCTGAATTAGAGTCCATGCTATCCTTGTCAGTGGTATCGCTATCCTGGAAGCCTTGATTCATCGGGCTCAGCTGAGAACGAAGTCTGGCTCTTTTCCTTTCTAGGTAAGCATTAACAAGTGCCACTTCTGAGTCAGTTACAGGGGAAAGTTGCATATGTTTTGGTTTCTTCTTAAAGATCTTTCTCAAAGATTCCCAGATGCTGCTTTTGCTATGTCGCTTACAGTAGACACCTTTGATAGGAACAATCAGAAGAAAACAACAGATTAGGTGCATTGCGGCTCAACACAATATTATTATGGCAATCTGTAGCAGGAATCCCAAAGATACTAAGTAGTACTACTACATTTTTACAACATTCAGACCACAAATCATTGCCATATACAGCAAAGCCCCACTAACCCCCTTCATCCCATGTGAATCAGACATGTCTCACTCCGGAGCAGCAGAAGGAAACAGATGGGAATCTTGGAGGCCCACTTTGGAAAGGCAATGCTGATCCTGATTTAAGGTCCAAGGCAGAGGTCCCAGGACCTTTTTCAAAGAAGTATCAAGTTTCAAGTTACCAAATATCAAGGTTTTATATTCTTAAAAATGAATGATGGGGTAATGGGAGTGGAAGCTGGAGTGGGACAAATACTGACAAACAGCAAAAGCCTTGGTAGGAGGAATGGGGAAGGGGTAAAAGAGGAGATGGGAGAAAATACTTCCAGTTCCCTGCAAAACTCAACTTGGCTCAGCAGTGGGGATGAAGAGTAGGGGTGGGGACATGGAAGCTGGAAAGCTTCAGCATAAATTTATATTGTCAAAATCTTTTTTACCAAATGCTAAATATACACTGGATCTCACCTTTACATCCTAAATTGTTTGTCTCACTGTCTGTTGATAGTGATGCATCCTTTCTCTCAGACATCTGTGTCAGGAAATATAGACTAGTCACAGAGATTCTCTAAATTAGAAGACCTTCGTTATTATTCATTTGTTAAGAAACATTGTTGCCTTGGGGCATTATGTGAGTCTAATTTAAAATTTTAATTTACCAAGTATTTATTGAGCTTCTGCTCTGTGATCCTGCTTAATCACCATCAGTTTGAAAGACAGATTTTTAAGTAATACTATGTAAATATGAGTTGTTGTTTTAAATAGTACCATCTCTTAAATAGTACCCTGGACAGGGTAGAAAATTATTTTCAGGTATAATAGTTCAAAGTAGAGTTATCAAATCAAATGACATGATATAGATATGCAGATATATACAAATGTATACATATAACTTGGCAAATCTTAAAGCTGTCTATAAATGCTAGCTATTAGTATTATTATTAATAAAAAATCCTTATTTATGTTAGAATAAGAAACATGGGACCAAAAATACTTATTCGTGTTCTCTTTAGTAAAAATCATAGGGTTATAGCTTTGGAAGTGGAAGGGACATTAGAAACCAACTAGTCCAGGTCCCTTATTTTACAGATGAAGAAATAGGTTCAGAGAGAGAGGTTAAGTGACTTTACCCAGAGTCACAAAGCTAGCAAGCATCTGTGGCAGAACCTGAACCCAGATCTTACTGATTCCAAAATGGACTGAACCACTGCAGAAAACACTTTTTAATGGCTAGTCTAATTTGGGACATAACAATTAATTTAAGATTTTTACCCTAAACCACTAACTTCCTCAAATTCCTCCAAAAAACATTCAGAAGTAATGTCTCCCTCCAACAATGTGGCCAAGTAATTTCATCTTTAGTTTTATTTGTGTTTCAGTTGTTTATTTTGTTGTTACTCAGTTGTTTCAGACTTCATGACCTCTATCCTTGGGGTTTTCCTGGCACGCTACTGGAGTGGTTTGCCATTTCCTGCTCCAGTGGCAAAAGAGGTTAGGTAACTTGCTTAGTCACACAGCTAGGAAGTTTTTGAGGCTGAATTTGAACTCAGGTCTTCCTGACTCCAGGCCAAGGGCTCTATCTACTGTACTACCAAGCTGCCTATATGTATGTATGTGTAATATGTATATATATCACAAAATATTCACATTTTAATGACAAATGGATAACTATATTTAGAAAAGTAGAAAATGAAGAGAAAATACATTTCATGACAAGGATAATTAATCACTACTGTTTTTCTAACATATTTGTAATCATATTACCTATAAATAAGTTTCTTAACATCAGAAAAAGTGAGGAATTTTCATGATGCTGCATAATGAGAAATGCAGCTCCTAAGATCATTAGGGCTTAGCACCTTAATAAGTCGAACTCCACATTTCAGACTTGTTTTGAAGCAAATATGATTAAAACAGGAAAAACTGGGTCTCCCAGGGTTGCCCTTGACATTAACTACCTGTAAAACACCTCAGGAACACTGCTTAGTTAGTGGCAGAGTCTTAGCTTTTAATTTTCCTGAGAATGGAGAAAAATCTTACCTGTCTAAAGAAAGGAAGGATACAATGATCTCTTGAGGTCCCTTTCCAGCTCTAGGATCTAAGATTCTAAGTAGGTGGTGCAGACAAGAGATTATTGTTATTTTTAAATCTCTAAAACTGAGGATGTTTAACCTGAACCAGAAGATGACTGGGTAAAGTAAGGTAGAGGCACAAACAATAGCTCTCTTCAAATATTTGAAAAGTCATTGCAAGAGGGATTGAATTTGTCTTATTTGGTCACAGAGGGCAAGAACAAAGAACAACGGATGAAAGACTTAGGTATGATGTTGAAAAAAAAAGTTCCTAACAGCAATACAGAAGTGAAATGGGCTGAATTAGCAAGTAGTCCCGGAGGTCTTCAAGGAAAAGCTGGATGATCACATCACTTGTTGGCTATGCTATAGTGGGGATTCTTAACCAAAAGGCCTCTGGGATCTCTTGCAACTCTTGAGATTCTGTGAAAATTTTTGGTGATAGGCAAGAGTAGCACCTTTCTTATTAGTTTGGTCATACATTCAATGTTTAGTGTTGGTAATGAAAGCTATCCCTATTCCAATTTTACTGACTGCTGTCAAAGAATCTGCCTTAAAGAAGACTCAGATAAATTTACTATAGAGAAGCATCTCTGACTACTGAAAATGAAACATCAAAGAGTTTAATAACCCATTTTAGCCTTTAATGGAGCACTCAGACTGCCAACCATTCAGTATTCTGGTAATTACTAAATGATAGTAATAATAATTACTAAAAAAAAAAGTAATGATAATGATAATAATAACTGATATTTGTATTACTATTATTACTAAGTCAACATGTATTTCATTGTACCATCAGTAAATGCAATAGTGGTTTGATTAGCCATCTATTTTGCATTAAAAATCAGGACCTTGGCCTCAGACCAAACACTTGACACTTACTAGCTGTTTGACCCTGGGCAAGTCACTTAACCCCAACTGCCTAAAAAAAAAAAAATCAGGACCTGCAGCTATATTTAGTTATAAAAGCACTGCCATCCATAGTTACGATAATAATAATAATAAGTGATACATATATATGTGAGATATATATATAGATATATAGATATATATATATATATGTATATCAGCTAAGTGGCATAACAGAGTACTGAGCCTGGAGTCATGAAGACCTGAGTTCAAATCCTATTTCAGACACTAGCTATGTGAACTTGGGCAAGTCACTTAACTTCTGTCTGTTCTCAAATTCCAAAACCATAAAATGGAGAATATGATAGCACCTACCTCCCAGAGCATTGTGGGGAACAAATAAGATATTTGTAAAGTGCTTAGCACAGACACATAGTAGGAACTATATAAATGCTACTCATTAACATTGTTATTATTGCTTTAAAGTTTCACAAAGAGGAATACTCCATAATGGTAGTTTGGCATCTTAGTCTGGGCTCTTATTTTACTTTAAAAAAAATCTTTCTATGGAGTTTAAATTCCATAGTACATATTCTGTAATAACAAATATCTTACCTCCCACAACCAGAATTATGAGGACATAGAAGGAAACTTTGGATCATTAGAAGTTGGGAAGATTTTAGCCAAAAAAAAAAATTAACTTCACAGAAATACATGGCTTAGTAAATGTAATATTAGTAAGAATGGAAGAATATCCTACCCAGAGAGCAGCCCTATAGAGGACCATCAGGAACAACATGATGATAAAGTACCAAAGCACAAAGTTCCCTACTGCCCCACAAGTGTCATCCTTCCGGCATTCATATTCTGGCTTTGGAATGAAATTCAAAGGCTTGCTGGGAGGATCCACCTCCGGAAAAAGGGAATAAGGGAGTCCCATGAAACTACTTTCTTAGAAAATATCAAAACATGTTTTATGTGATTGAGGATGACTGGGAGAATACTTCAGTCCATGATGTGTAACAACTTCCTTGGCAACCTATTATGACATGTTTTCAGCAAATGTGACAAGAATTAACAAGCTACTACAATGGATTCCTTAAAGTTTTAAAGAATATTTTAAGTACCTTACTTCAGCTAAAAGTAATGGGTAGTACTTTTTTCTCATCTCATTTTTTGGGCATGTTTTAAAATGCACAAATGCCATTAGCTACCAGCAAATATTTCTTGATTCTTTAAAAACAAATCTTCCTTGAGGCATTAATTTTCTCTCCTTTTATTAAAATATGTGGTTAGACTACATATAAGTTTAAGATTTTTGGTGGTTCCTATATAAATGTCCAATGATTAATATAAAATGAGACAGTCAGTTATGAATTGGATAAAATTTACTGGGGCCACTTTTTCTTCTTAATTTAGGAAGTAAGGATAAAGAAAACTTGGTTTCTAGTATTAACTAGTATTGTCAGATGTTTACACATCGGACACTGTGCCCCGCAACTTTTTCAAGACATTTCTCCACTTGGGTTCACATCTAAAGCTATACGAAAATTCACTTCAATTAATCTGCAAACTGATACAAATGTCATTGTTTATAAAGCACTTTGGAGTTTTGAAACATACAATTATGTTTGTAAACTACCCATGCGTATTCCCTCTGTTTTTGTCCCATAGGAAAAAACTTCATTTTCAAAATAAAATGGTCTTGGGAGCAAAATTTGGGATTAATTTTGATCACAGAGATATAAAAAAAATCTTAGCACAGTATGACAGTGGTATCTTTTGTAAATATTTACCACCTGGTTATTCAGGGAAGCGATTATCTATGTTCTCCCAGCTACTTATGTCCTTCTCCTTTCTCTTTAACTTGACTTTGAGGCACTTCTCCCTTCAATGTACAGTTCTTAGAAAGCAAAGGGGCCAACCTCATAATCAGTTTATTTTATGTGATTTATCACATAAATACGTAACGAATTTGCATAAGTTATCTATGCTACAACTTACACGTGTTCCTCAAGAGTAAACTTCCTGTTAGCCACATTTCAAAAAGAGGTCTTATTTATAAGGCAATGCGCCCTTTACAAAGTGCTCTCACAGTTAACCGTGAGGTAGGGCAGTTAGTACTCCCCTTGCAGGGCAAATAGCTCTGGTTCCAGCCTCGGGATTGGAAGACGTCGGTTCAAGCCCTACCAGGCTGTGTAACTCTGAACAATTTACTTAACCTCTCACGAGTCTTAGCATCCTAAATTGCAGAACTGTTGCCAATCTGCATTGGAGGGTTTTCTCACAAGGAGTGAAAACTGGAGCAACAATCCCCCACCCCCCAAAAAATAAAAAAACATTCGAACGGAGACTCTGACAGATTGAGCGAGCTCTGACGACTCCATACAGTGGGAGGGCGACTACTTGTCACTCTCTGGTGAAACCCAGACTATTTTTAACTAGGCAGGCTACAAGGCCTCCGATATTCAGCGACAGCTGCGCAAACCGAGGAAGCATCAACGGGGCCTGAGGCTGGACCGGTCCAGAAGGCCGGAGAAGGGCAAACAGGCCACAAGGCCCCTGAGCCCCGGAGCCTGCGTATCTGTTTCTATTTGAATTTAACCCAGCTTGTGGTACTTGTCATCTTTGGTTTGCTCTGGGCTTTTTAAGCAGACCCGGTAACAAACACCGAAACGCCAGCCTCCCTCTTTCGAGCTCCGCCCGCTCCTCCCTTCCCGACCCAACCCCTTCAGTCACTTCCCGAGGCCACTGTGCGCAGGCGCCAACCTACACACAGGCGCGCGAGCACTCCCATTGCCAAGACAACGCTCCCTCCTCTCGCAAGAAGATACTTCAGGCGGGCCCTTTCTCCCCCGCCCCCTCCCTTCGCGCCCTCCATTTCACCTTGCTCCCGCGATCCAGTTTTCACGTCTTGATTGGCCTCGAGCCGCGTCCGCGAGCTCACGTGACTGCGCAGGCGCGGTGAGAACAGGTGCCGATCCGCGGCTGCGGGAAGTTGAGTGATCACGGTGCGTTGTTTGTGCGTGTGTGTATGTGTGTCTCTGCGCGTTGACTTTTCCTCTCCGGCGAGTGGACGGAGCTTCCGCTGCCCGCCGCCTCGGGGAAGGCTCGGCCCCGCGGAGGGCGCGGGGGCGGCGGGGCGCGCGAGGCGAGGCTGGCCTGAGGCCCCCTTGGCCCGAGGCTGTGGGGAGCCGCGTGCGGGCTGTGCCGGAGCGAGGGCGGCGGGGCTCGGGGGGGTGACTGAAGGGGGCCCCGGCGTGCAGAGCTGAGTAAGGGAGGGGGTGGGGTGCACATGGGGCGAGTCACCCCCTCGTGGTTTGAGTGGCCCCTGCTTTGTGGCGTGGGCGGCTGAGACCGACGTCCCGGTGTGGGGAGGGAGCCGGGGGTTCAAGGATTTAGGCCTCCTACCTGAAGGCCTAACTATCACAGGACTATAGGGCTAGAGCCAGAAAGGACTTTGGGGGCCACCGAGTCCAACACCCCTCCTCCTCCCCGTTTTACAAATGAAGAAACGGAGTCCCAGAGAGGTTAAGTGACTTGCCCAGAGTCATACAGCTATTAAGTACCGGAGGCGGGGTTTGAACTCGCCTCTTCCTGACTCCCAGGTCCAGCGCTCTACGGCACCTGTGGGCTGCTGTAGTACGTCACCACGGGTATTATTAACCCGAAGTGAGCGATTATTAACGCTCCCTGCCCCTCCCCCTCACTTGCTCTTTTCCTCCACTCTTCCAGCACTTGGGGAAGTGGAAAGGGTCAGGAGTTGAAAGCCCAGTTCCAGTCTGGCTTCCGACAGTAGTTATGTGATCACGTTCAGTATCATCTAACTTCTCAGAGCCTAAATTCTATTTGTCCGTAAAATCAGAATAATATCTGTAGTACCTACTTCAAAGGGTTGATGTAGGCATCAAATGAAGTCTTGTATATATACAATATGTCAATTGCTATTAGCTTTCCTCCTCCCTCCCCATTTTTTTGTGTGTCCCTTACCAGACACTGCTTGTTTTCAGTACAGGAACACAGGTATATAACAATAAGGAACATTTATTAGGATCTTCCTATTACATAAAAGACTATGCTAGACCATTTGGTATATAACTTAAGACTTGGTGGTCCTTGTGTACATTTGTTAAGCTACTGTGTTCCAGGCCTGGTGCTGGATTCTGGGAATACAAAGAAAAATTGAAACAGGACTTACCCTCAAAGAGTTTATATTCTGTTGAAGAGAAAAAACTGATACACAAGTAAATAAAAATATTTGTAATTTCAGAGTGGACAGTAGTAGAGGAGGAGATGTTCAGGATAGGCCTCATTCGACAAGCATTTGCCCTTAACTATGTGCTTGGCACTGTGCCTAAGCACTGGGGATAGATAAAAAACCAAAAAAAGATTGAGGCTAGCTGCAAGGAACTCACATTTTAATGGAGGAGACAACGTAAATAATTAGGTACACATAACATATATGCAGAATAGATCTAGGAAAATCGTCTCTTGGGGAAGGCACCAAGGAAGACATCTTGCAGAAGGCAGGATTTGAATTGAGTCTTGAAGGAAGCTAAAGAGTCAGAGATGTAGAGGTGCTGGGATAAAGCACTGCAGGCATGAGGGACAGCCAGTGCAAAGGTGTTAAGTGGAGATGGATGGAGCCTTGTGTTAGAACAATTAGAGGAATAGCAAGTAGGGCAGTGTGGCTGAATCACAATGTGTGGAGGAGAGTAAAGGTATAAGAAGACTGGAAAGGTAGAAAAGGGCCTGGTTGCCAAGAGCTTTAAATGCCATGTAGAACACTATGTTTCATCCTGAAGGTAAACAGGGAGCCACTTGAAGTTTATCTGGTAGAGTGGTGGTCAGACTTACAGTTTATAGACCACTTTGGCTACTGAGTGGAGGCGGCATTAGATAGGGAGAGAGACTTCAGGCAAAAGCAATTAAAAGACTGGTGCAGCTGGTCAGGCCAAAGGTGATAAACATTGAATAGCTGTGTGTGGAGAAAAGGGAACATCTTAAGAGAGATGTTGTGAATTGACAAGGATTAACAACAGTTTGGACATGTGGGGAGTGTTAGGTAGAATTCTAAAATGGTACACTGAGGTTTTGAACCAGGCTGATTGGGAGGATAGTAGTACGCTTTGACAGCAATAAAAAGTTGGAAAGAGGGGAAAGATAATGAGTTCTATTTTTGGACATGTTGGATTTGATGTACCTATGAGACATCCAGTTATTAATGTCCAAAGGACTCTTGGTGATATGGGACTGGAGCTTAGGAGAAAGATTAGGACTGGATATATAGATCTGGAAATTAACTCCTTAGAGATAGATCGTATTTAACCCATGGCAGTTGATGATGTTACCAAATGAAAGTGTAGAGATGAAGAAGAGAAGAGGATCCAGGACAGAGCCTAGGGGATCGCCCCATAGCATGGCTCAGATGAAGAGCCAGTAAAGAAGACTCAAAAGGACAGTAGCAACAATGTCATGGAAACCTAGAGAAAAGAAAGTATCTAAGAGAAGGTGGCTTAGAGGGGGATTAAAAGATTTGGAATAGTTGCTATAGTGAGTGGGATAGCAAATCTACTAGGGATGTGTAAAAGGATGTGGGCCCATTTGAGATTATGTAACATAAATTTGTAGTAGACCAATTAGGAGTTACATGATTTTCTTCAGCATCATTCAGCGCCACATGAAATAGGAAGAAAGGACCTGGCTGATGGTGGGAATAATTGAAGATTGGGAGCAATAGGAGAAGGGGGAAAGCGATTTGAGAATAATGGATCGTGTAGAATTGAACTGTTTCGCCAATCAGTCAAGGTAGGGAAGAGAGGTTAGTGTGGGGAAAAAACTGAGGGAAAGGTAATGGAGGATATGATGAGATTGAAAGCACAGGGTTAGGACTCGGTAAGCCATAGGGAAAGATGAAATGATAGAACATGGAATTACAATAGTTGTAGCTAATGACAAGGCCAAAGGTATGACCAGCTCGGTGTGTATCTGAGGCAAAGTAGGTCATGGAATGAATAGCTGCCAGAGTAATTTTCCTTAAATATAGATCTGATCATGTGACTACTTGATCAACTAAATTGGCTGCCTGTTGTTTCTGGAATAAAATATGAATTTTGTTTAGTTTTTAAAGCCTATGTAACCTGGCCCCAACCTACTTTTCCAACTTCCATTGGGCATTACTAACCTTAACTCTGGTTACCAGTGATCTCTTCTGATCATCTTTTCTCAGTTCTCATCCTTCTCAATTTATCAGCTGCATTTGACACTGTTAACCACCCTCCCCTCCTGTTTACGATTTCTTTTTGGGTTTTCGTGATGCTGTTCTCCCCTGGTTTACTCTCTGTTTGACTGCTGCTTCTCAAAATCTTTTATTGGGTCTTCATCCACATCATGCTCTCCTAACTGCAGGTGTTCCCCAAGGTTCTGTCCTAGGCCTTGTTCTCATTTCCTATATTCTTTTGGTACTCATCAGCCCCCATAGGTGTTTTTTTTTTGTTTTTTATTTTTTAACTATCCTCGTGAGTTTTCTTTAAGGAAGACACATTGAGAGATTATACAACCAATTCCAACAATATGTTGTTGCTCAAAAATATTCTTTAGAATTCATCTTTTAGAATTATTTTCAGTTCCAAATTTTCTCCCTCCTTCTAGCACCTCCCCCTGTGAGAAGGCAGTTGACATAATCAGCCCATTCATCATACATCTGAAGTGTGCAAACTATGTCCCATAGGTTTAACTATCATCTATATGCAGATGGCTCCCAGAATGATAATCCAGCTCTATTCCCCCAAGCTTCATTGTCAGGTCACCAGCTGTGTATTGGATATTTCAAACTGGATGTCCTAGAGAGATCTTAAACTCATTATATCTAAAATTGAACTTACTGTCTTTCCCCATAAACCGTCTCTTCTTCCAAACTTCCCCACAGTTCTGTTAAAAACACCACTATCCTTCCAGTGTCTTGAGGTTCATAATCTCAGTATTATCCTGGACTCTTCACTTTCCCTCTCCCCACATATCCAGTCTCTTGCCAAATTTTGCCATTTCTACTTTCTCAGCATCTCTTCCATCTGACTTCACTCCATTCACACAGATACTGCCTTTGTTCACATCAACTCTTTACCTACATTATTGCAATGGCCTCTTAAGGGTTCTTCATGTCTCAAACCACTCAACTCCATCCTCTGAACTGCTACCAAAGTAATTTTCCTTAAGCACAAATCTGACCATGCGACTTTTCTACTGAGCCAACTCCAGTGGCTTCCTGTTTGTTGCCTGTAGAGTAAAATATAAACTTTTTTGTTTTTAAAGCACCATGCAGCCTGGCCCCACCTACCTTTTCTAGCTCCTTTAGGATATTATGCCCCCTCCTGCACTCTTTGATTGGCCACACTGGCCTCTGAGTTTCTCTCTCATGGCAATTCCATATTTTGTCTGCCCATCCCCATCTCCTTTGCCTAGAATGCATTCTGTATTTACTTATACCTCTTAAAACCCCTCTTTTCTCTAAGATGCAGCTCAAGCACAATCTTCTGCATGATATCTTTACTGAGCTCCCAATTGTTTACTAGTGTCCCTCCCAAAACTACTTTGTATTTAACTCTTTTTTATGTGTGTGGATATATATGTGTGTGGATATATTTATTGACTTTATAGTGTAAGCTCATTAAAAGTAGGGTTTTTTCACCCTTTGTATTTGTATCTCTAGCACATGCCTGGCATATAGCAGGCACTTAATAAATGCTTATTGATTGATAGAAATTAAATAGTGTGGAAAAACTTGAGAGTTAAGGTATGTAAAGGACTGTCACTATTTTGAAGTTGGCCAGTAGAAAGGCAGGAGTTGACTGTGAGGCATACACTGAACTCATTGAGAAAGAAAAGTGTATAAGTTTGGGGGAGATGTCAGTGTGACCACCAGTATCTGGAAATCTGTAAGACATGAACTTCAAAGAAGGAGATGTTCTTCAGTAATGGTGGTAGGAGAAGAAAAACTGTAAGTGACAATGATATAAAAAGTATTCCAGTTCTCCCACCACAACTAGTGAATAGGGGTAGAGAGTATGAATAAAAATGCAGCAGTCCTGGAAATGGTTAACTAGTGTTACAATGTCAGGAGAGAGATTGGTGTTGGCCTAGCTGATCTAAGGGGGACATTGGTGGGGAGTTAGGGAGAGTGGGGTTTGTATATCAGCAGCTGAAAGTCACTGGGATGGACTTCATATAAGAGGTGGTACTTGGACTGTCCTCAAAGGAAATTTAGGATTGTAAGAAGGGGGTATGAGGAGGGTGTATTAGTCTTCTCATGTTTGAGCTGTTTGTTTTCATTGTTAATAATAGTGCAGTTATATTCCATCGCAGTCATATACTGCCCCTTGTTCAGCCCCAACCTGTAGGCAACCACTTTGATTTACACGTGTTTACTGCACAGCAAATGCTGTTCTGAATATTTCTGTAAATCTGAGATCTTTAAAAAAATCTTTTAACTCCTTGGAGAAGATCTCTGGAGTGGAATCTCTGAATCAAAGCAAAATGAATCATTTTCTTCCACAACCCATAATGTTTAAATTATTCATAGTTTTATCAACAGTGTTTTAGTGTCTCTTCCTACAGTCCCTCCAAGGTAGACCGTTTCTGTCTTGTGTGATCTTCACCAATTTTCTGGCAAAGGGTATGAGGTAAAGTCCCAAAGTCATATTAACTTAAATTCCTCTTATTACTAGTTACTTGGAACAGTTTTTCATATTGTCATTAATAGTTTATATTTCTTTTAAGGCCTATTTGTTCTTATCCTTCGACTACTTATCTTTTGGGGTGTGACTCTTTTTATTTATTAATTTTCTCTGTATCATATTCAGATATCAGAATCTTTATTAGAGATATTTGGTGGTATTTTTTTCCTATTCTACACTTTTAAATTTCGTGTATTTGAAATTTTCCATTTTTTCTTTTGTTCTTTCCTCTTATCTATTCCTTGCATGGATAAAAATTTTGCTAGCCATTGTTGGTGGAATTTTGGAGTTGGAGGGGAGCTTAGCCCTAATCTATTCCAGCCCTCACAGACTGGACAAGTGGTCATTTAGCCTCTGCTCAAAGACACCCCCCCCCCCAAGGAAGGGGGAACTTAACACTTCTCAGAGCAGCCCATTTCATTTTTGGTCAGTTTTAATTGTGGGGAAGTTTTTCCTGACATCAACCCTTGTCTCTTTTCAGCTTCCACCATTGCTCCTTATTCTTCCCTTTGGGGCTGAACAGTTTTTTAAGTCTTTTTCCATATGACAGCCCTTCAGATACTTAAAAATGGCTGTCATATATATACACCCCTTGAGTCTTCATTTCTCCAAGATAAACATAACCAGGTTTTTTTAATCAGTCCTACTTTGATGGAGACTCAGGGCCCTTCACCATCCTGATTGCTCTTCTCTGGATACTCTTCAACTTAGCAATAGCATTTTTAAACCCTGGTGCCCAGAATTGAATGTAGTACTTTGGATAACATCTGACAAGGGCAGGATATGGTGGTACTATTAACATCTCTGTGCCTAGAAGCTTTGCCACTTAGAATAAGATCATATTCTGTTTCTTGGCTGCTTTGTCACACTTCTATTGAGCTTTCAGTTATTGAAACCCTCTGATTTTTTTCTTCTTTTTTGTTTAATTTTTATTTATTTTGGTTTATCAACAATCACTTCCATAAGCTTTTGAGTTTTAAATTTTTCTCCCCCTACCTTCCCAAATTGGCTTGCAATCTGATATAGGCTTTACATATACATTCCCATTAAACATATTTTCACATTAGTCATGTTGTAAGGAAGAATTAGAACCAATAAGAGGAACCACAAGAAAGAGGAAACAAAACAGAAGAAAAAGAATGGCAAATAGTATGTTTCGATCTGCATTCAAACTCCATAGTTCTTTCTTTAGATGTGGATAGCTTTTTCTATCATGAGACTTTTTGGAGATGTCCTTGCATTGCTGGGAAGAGTTACGTCTGTCAGAGTTAGTCATCGCACAACATGGCTGTTATTGTGTACAGCGTTCTCTTGGTTCTACTCATTTCACTCAGCATCAGACCATCACTCTTTCCAGGTTTTTCTGAATTCTGCTTGCTTATCATTTCTTATAGCACAATAGTATTCCATCACATTCATATACCACAACTTGCTCAGCCATTCCCCAAATGATGGACATCCCCTCAATTTCCAGTTGTTGGCCACCACAAAAAGAGCTGCTATAAATGTTTTTGTACATGTGGGTCCTTTTCCCATTTGTGTGATTTCTTTGGGATACAGCCCTAGAAGTTTTATTGCTGGGTCAAAGGGTATGCACATTTTTATAGCCCTTTGGGTATAGTTCCAAATTGCTCTCCAAAATGGTTGGATCACTTCACAACTCTATCAGCAATGCATTAGTGTTCCAATTTTCCCATATCTTCTCCAACATTTATCATTTTCTTGTTTTGTCATCTTGGCCAGTCTGATAGGTGTGGTGTGGTACCTCAGAGTTGTTTTGATTTGCATTTCTCTAATCAATAGTGATTTAGAGCATTTTTTCATATGACTATAGAGGGATTTAATTTTTTCATCTGAGAACTGCCTGTTCATATCCTTTGACCATTTATCAATTGGGGAATGACTTGTATTCTTATAAATTTGACTTAGTTCTCTAGATATTTTAGAAATTAGGCCTTTATGAGAGACACTGGTTATAAAAATTTTCTAAAAATTTTCTACTTCTCTCCTAATCTTGGTTGCACTGGCTTTGTGCAAAAACTTTTCAATTTAATGTAATCAAAATTATCTATTTTGCATTTCATAATGTTCTCTGTCTCACGGGGGTACTCGCAAGAGGCTTCCTGCTATATTGACATTGAACTTCTCTTTGGGTCTAACCATCCATCTAGCTCTGAATCCAAAACAACTCCTCCCTAAAACGTTTTAGCAATGACTCTTCCTTAATTTTGTCTCCAAATAGATGCAGAGAGAACAGAGTCCCTCAGCTTCCCTCATCGATAGAACCATCAAGATGAGAAAAGAGACAGAAGATAGGAAAGTGGTTTTAGCCTGGGGACTCCTAAATGTTTCTGTAGCCGGTATGATATATACTGAAATGTAAGTCCATTAACTAGAATAAGAACAAAATTTGTTAAATGTGTGAAAATATTTTCTAACAGTAGTATTGGAGATATTTTTAAAGAATTTTAATTTTTTTCAGGACTGGGAAATTATTAAGTTCATACTATAATGTTACATACTGGCCCCTCTGGTATATTGGTAAGCTTTTCCTGTATTGTGATATAATTTGTGTTACCTATTGCATAAAAATTATGTAAAAATGCAATTCAGATTTGATTTTTTTTAATGCTTTTTGAATGGGATATTCAAACAATATAAATTCATTTTAGTCTTTCTGGATAATGAATGGTATATGCTGTACTGTTGTGTACATCATTGAATAGACAGGCTGAGAGCAATAAAGGAATGTAAAATTAAACCTTAATTTCTTTTTGTAAGTTAGAGTTTTCTTTTTTATCAAGATTGGTAGGGGTGGTGATAGGGTGGTTGTTTTGTGTTTTAATTACCTAGTGTTTCATTCCAGAGCTTGTACTTGCATCTCTCTTCAGCCTGAATGCTTTATTTGATTTCTGGAGGTATTTCAAATATACTGTAGCACCTACGAATCTGGTCATCAGTCCTGGACAGCAAACACTTTTAGGATTGAAAACAACTGGTAAGTGTTTTATATTTCTTGATAAAATTAGCAACAGATATCTCTTAATTTCAGAAGTTTCCTTTTCAAAGCTTGGTATTGATGGAAGAATCATCAAGACTATATAATTTGCAGGGTCCCTGTCTTAAGCAAGTCCTAAATCTAAATATAGAAGACAAATTATTGTCTTTCCTAATTTATCTTTTTGGAAAGGAATTTAATTACATTTTGAACATGCTAAGTTTGAGGTGCCTGAGAGACGTGCAGGTGGAGATAAGGGCTGAACATACTGATTTTTCAGTCACCTTTTTGGGGTAGTGATGCTGTTCTTGATATTTTCTCCCAATTGTTTAGTTATATTCTACCACTTTAAGATATCCTTTCAGTGTGACCTCTCAATATTTTCAAATTTGTATTGCCTCCAGTATGGATTTCTTCTCTATTTACTTGGTCTGATCCATCTGTTCTTTCTGACTTCATCTTCTCAAGTGCCATTTCCACTTCCTCTTAGCACATCAGGCACTGATGTTCTGATATATGGTCGTAATGTGGTTCATTGATGATGAGAGTAATGCTGACAAACATGTTCTATTTTCCATGTATTTGGTGTCCTTTCATTGTAAATGTTTTTGGGACGCTCTAGCTTAGGTCTGATACCAAGTTTTTTGTATGTTTGTGAGCATTTTGCTGTTTGGTTAGGCAGAACTGCTCATGATTTTCTGATATCCTGCTCTGCAGTGCTTTGCAAAGGAATTATACTCAAAACTAGTATTGCCTTTGTCTGCCATGTCTTTCCTTTTGGTCAGGAGAACCTGTGTTTGCTAAGACAGTTTAAAAAAAAATTATTCCTTCATATACTTAAACAGCACTCTTATTCTTAGTCTGAAGACCTGGGTTCAAATCCTAGCTATAGCCTGAGGTAAGTCACTTAACTTTTCTGAGACTGTTTCTTTAACTGTAAATATGGGGTGATAGATAATACTTGTATTTATCTATTTCACAGGATTGTTGTGAGGAAGGACTTTGTTAACAGTACATGTCTATAGAAATGTATGCTATTTTATTGGGGGGGATTTTCCAACCATTTAAACTTTTCTTCCTAGAAACTAATTTCCTTTCTCTTGAATCATTTTATTGACACTTCTCTAGGTCCCTTAGGTTCTGTTTTTCAAACTTCTTTACCATAATAACACTGATTTTATTAGAATTTTTAAATATCCTAATTCTTGTAAAGGTCTCAGTATCATGAAAGTTTTTGTTCTTTTTTAAAATAACAGTGCCTTCATGACCAAACAGGAGATAGAAGCAAAATGGATAACTTTGGTTACATTAAATTGAAAAGTTTTTGCACAAACAAAGCCAATGCAACTAAGATTAGAAGAAAGGTAGAAAATTGGGAAAGAATCTTTACAACCAGTGTCTCTGATAAGTGCCTCATTTCCAAAATATGTAGAGAACTATGTCAAATTTATAAGAATACAAGTCATTCCCCAATTAATAAATGGTCAAAGGATATGAACAGGCAGTTCTCAAATGAAGAAATTAAAGCCTTCTATAGTCATATGAAAAAATGCTCTAAATCACTATTGATTAGAGAAATGCAAATCAAAACAACTCTGAGGTACCACATCACACCTATTAGATTGGCCAAGATGACAAAACAAGAAAATAATATATGTTGGAGAAGATGTGGGAAAATTGGAACACTGTGCATTGTTAGTGGAGTTGTGAAATGATCCAACCATTTTGGAGAACAATTTGGAACTATGCCCAAAGGGCTACAAAAATGTGCATACCCTTTGACCCAGCAATAGCATTTCTAGGACTATATCCCAAAGAGATCATACAAATGGGAAAAGGACCCACGTGTACAAAAATATTCATAGCAGCTCTTTTTGGTTCTGGCAAAGCATTGGAAATTGAGAGGATGCCCATCAATTGGGGAATGGCTGAGCAAATTGTGGTATATGAATGTAGTGGAATACTATTGTGCTATAAGAAATTATGAGCAGGCTGGCTTCAGAAAAACCTGGAAAGACTTGTATGATCTGATGCTGAATGAAATGAGCAGAACCAAGAGAGAACATTGTACACAATAACAGCCACATTGTGCAGTGACTAATATTGATAGACTTAACCATTCCCAGCAATACAAAGATCTAAGACATCTCCAAAGGCCATGTGATGGAAAATGCTATCCACATCCAAAGAAAGAACTATGGAATTTAAATGCAGATCGAAGCATACTATTTGCTGTTTGGTTTTTTTTTTTTGGTTGAGTTTTGTTTCCTCTTTCTCAGGGTTCCTCCTATTGGTTCTAATTTTTACTTACAACATCACTAATCTGAAAATATGTTTAATAAAAATATATATATATAAGCTTATATCAGATTGTGTATCATCTTGCAGAGGGTGGTGGGGAGGAAGGGGGAGAAAATTTTAAACTCAAAAGGTTATGGAAGTGATTGTTGATAAATCAAAACTAATTAATTAATTAATTAATTGAAAAAGAAAAGAAAATAATAGTGCCTTTCCTGACTTTGACTCCTTAGCAATAGAAAATTAGCATAATAAATACCAAAGGCTGCTAACCTCTATTCTGCATTTTCTTTTCATTCCAGTTGTGCAGACCACTCCTCCGCGTGAATTGGTGGCAAACAATATCCCTCCCTCTACACCTTCTCCTCCAATACAGGGTCAAAGTGTGTTGAGTTATAGCCCATCTCGATCCCCCAGTACAAGCCCCAAGTTTACTATGACAGGATATAGCCCTCAACTTCAAGGTCTGTCATCAGGCAGCAGTGGTTCTTACAGCCCTGGAGTGACCTACTCACCTAGCAGTAGTTATAATAAGGTAAGCCTTTTCTTTTGATTACTCAAGGAGAAACATTTTAGTACCATCTCCAGGGTTAAATGTACAGTGGTTCTCCTTGCTGGTATTTTGCTACAGTGTCTTGATTAAAACAAATAAAAAATTATCTCTTTAATACCAGTGGCTTTGGCCCCTGTTTTCTTTACACTTTCACTTCTACAAAGTTTTTGGGTATCCTTACAGAATTCTAAGAGTCTTATCTTTCATGGCTTCTCATTTTATCTGAGCATCTTTCCAATTAAAAACAAGTTAGGACTCTTCACCAGAGATTGAAGCTTGTACTCCAAATACCAGAATAATGAGGGTTGTTTAGGCATCCATGGTCTTTCTCCTAGTCGTTTATCATTTTGGTCTGATAGGACCAAGATAAAGAGATATGGAAATTAGAAGACATTTGGTTGCCTGAAGCACATTGTTGAGATCATTGTATCAGGTGACTTAGCCACAAGAGTAATCATTTTCTTGTTGCTCATTATTAGATTTGATGTTGCTCATTATTAGAGTAGCAGTACCTAGAAGTAAAATTTACCCAATGTTGTTGTTTTTTAAATAGATTTTTTCATTTAATTAACTTTTTTTAAAAAACAAATTATATGTATTAAATCTGAATTTGGAAGGAAATAAGAGAATTTTGTGAAAATGGCAATTTTTTTGGGGTAGCACTTAGAAACTTAGGTATAGTGGGTCTTATGCACATGGCATATTTGGTATAGGGCCTCATTAACTTATTTTGATGTACCCTCTGTATAGTTTTGCTCGTGATTTCTGCTTTGAATACTGGCAAATTCTAGTTAGACTTTGCTTTCCATTTTCATGAAAGAAATTGTAACTTACCATAGCTTAGAGTAAAATTGAAAGCAATAATCTCTCAGTTTATCTATTGATCTCTATTTGCTGTCCTTTCTTTTCTTTCCCTTCTGTCTCAAGACCACCTCGCATCATTGTGAGGAAAGCAGTTTACAAAACTTTAAGCACTCCTTAAAAAAAAAGAACTAAACTTTAAGCACTAGAGAAATAAGAATTTGTAGTATATATCATCCAAATGAAAGAGGCTTCATTTTCAAACTAGACTAATAAATAAGGTGGAAAAAAGTCTTCCTACTTTCAAGTTGCAGCTTTTAAAGTAAATCTCTCATTCTAAATAGGTATCTGGTTATAGTCCTTCTCCTGGTTCTTCTCCATATCCTACAACCATTGGTCCAGCAGAGAGCTGTGGCTTGCGATCTCGATACCGGGCTTCACCAACTGTCTATAACTCTCCAACTGGCAAAGAAGACTACATGACAGATCTCAGAACCCTGGACAATTTTCTTCGAGGGGAAGAAGAGAAGCAACATAGGGTTCAGCTGGGTAAAAAAAAGTGATTTCATTCAGTCATAATAAAATTGGATCGTGGTATTTGTTTTTTCTATATGCAGGGTGGTCAGAAGAATATGCCATTTCCTCTGAGAGGCACTGTGGTACAGTGGAAGGCTGAGAGTAAGCAATAGCAGTTTATTGCCTCAAATTTGCCATTAACTAGCAAAAAAACTTTGGGAAAGTCATTTAACCATTCTGGGTCTCAGTTTCCTCATTTATAAAATGAGAAGGTTGCATTGGATTTTTCCAAGGATTCTTTGAACTCTGAAGCTTCACGATTATATGAGCTGAAATAACTCACTTTTTATTGGCATATAACCCCCAATTCATTTCACTATGCACAAAGCTGTATGCTAGGGATACAGAGGTAAAAAAAATGATAGAGCCCCAGCCTTTAAGGAGATTACAATCTCTTAGGGGAGATAAAACACACACAAAAAGTATGTCATGAGGTAAATGTGGGGCAAAAGAATGTTTGGTAGTAAGTCAGTGACCTCTAGTCTCATCAGTTGCTTTTACTTGGTGGGTAGGGGGAACTATACAAACTCAGTGAGGACCGAGTCGCATCTTTTTGAACGTGAGACCTAGCACAGGCCTGCCAAAGCAGGCCACAAGCAGCCCATGGGTGGTATGTTGTGTAGCCCCAGCCTAGTATAATGTTACATAATGGACACTCATCTTTTGACCTATTGTGATAATAATTACAGTAAACTGATGCTTACTAAATTGGTAATTATAGGGAGTACAGATTCCACTTCACCTTCTAGCAGTCCTACTTTCTGGAACTATAGTCGTTCTGTGGGCGATTATGCACAGACACTAAAGAAATTTCAATACCAGCTGGCTTGCAGGTCCCAGGCCCCAAGTGCTAACAAGGATGAAACTGACCTTGGTTCTAAACAGGCTGCAGAAGAGGTAAATGAAAAAATGATGACGTTAGCATTTGCTAATCCTCAGAAGTTCTACTAATTGTCATTTGTTCTTTAAAAAACATTCAGTCTCAACTTTTAAGTTAAGGCAATGTGGATAGAATATCAGAATTAGAGTTGGGAAAGCTTGGGTTCATTTTCCCCCCAAAATCTACTGGTTGTGTTACCACGGGCAAATCATTTAATCTCTGTATGCCTCAATTTTCTCATCTGTAAAGTAGGAATGACAATACCTATAATATCTATTTTGAGGCTAACATGAGATAACCTATGTAAAGTGCTTTGCAAACTTGAAAACCCTACTTAAATGTCGGTTATAAATAAACTGTAACAGGAATCACTAAGTGTCTGGCACACTTGGTTAAAAAAATGGAAAATCTGCTATTTTTTTGTCTGCCAACTAGCATTTATTAAGTGCCTCCTATATGCCAGGCACTATTTCAAGCTTTGGGGATACAAAGAAAGGCAAGAAACAGTCCCTGAAGGTGCTCACAGTGTAATGGGCTGATATTCTTTGTGTGCCTTATACTGAATTAGGTGGTTCTTTTTTCATTATGTATGTCAGATAGCAGAAACCACTATCCTGTAGAAAGTGTTTTCTGCCATCATCGTCAACAAATGCTTTGTGCGTTATTACACTTGACATAGGCTGGAGTCTGTTCACTTAGTTACTTTGTTTTACTTAGATTTAGTTACTTTGTTTCTTTTATACTTTTTTTATATATATTTGTTTTTGTACTTTTAACTTGATCGTTTAAAAAGTTAAATAGGGAGAGTTGAATAGCAACTCATAAGTTCTTACGAAAGAAAAATCAACCATAGTAATTGAGTAGTAAGTGATAATGTTTGTATATACCAGTTAAAATTTTTCTGAGGATTGATAAGGTTCTTTTATCGTTGTGGAAATGAGAATTGCTATGGTCTCTGGTAAGCCTATTCTACATTGATTGTCATTTTCAAAAGCATGCACTGTTTTTGAGTAGGTGTGGGCAAGAGTGACTATGAATCGACAACTTCTTGATCATATGGATTCATGGACTGCCAAGTTTAGAAATGTAAGTTCTGTCATTATAATGTAAAGTGTAGTTAACATGTCACTGTTGTGGGTAAGGGCAGCTAGATGGTGCAGTAGATAACTGCCAAGTCTGAAGTCAGGAAGACTCCTTTTCCTGCATTTAAATCTGACCTGAGACATTTAATAGTTGTGTGACCCTGGGCAAGTCACTTAAACCTGTTAGCCTCAGTTCCTCATCTGTAAAATGAGCTGGGAATCAAATGGCAAACCACTCCAGTACCTTTGCCAAAGAAACCCCAGATAGAGTCATGAAGAGTCAGACATCACTGAAACAACTGAACAGCAATAATTGTGAGTTAATATTTGTAGTTAACCAGTTCTGGGGTACCACCTCACACCTACCTGATTGACTAACATGACAGAAAAGGAAAATGACAAATGCTAAAGGGTATGTGGGAAAATAGGGACAGTAAAGCACTGTTGGTGGAGTTGTGAACTGGTCCAACCATTTTGGAGAACAATTTGGAACTATCCCCAAAGAGCTATAAAACTGTGCATATCCTTTGATCCAGTGCTACCATTACTAGGTCTGTATCCCAAAGGCATCAGAGAAAAGGAAAGAAGACATATATGTACAAAAATATATTTATAACAGCTCATTTTGTGTTGGCAAAGAATTGGGAGTTGGCTGAACAAATTCTGGTATATGGTTGTGATGAGATACTATTGTGCTTTAAGAAATGAAAAGCAGAATGCTTTCAGAAAAACCTGGGAAGACTTACATGAACTAATACAAAGTAAAATGAGCAGAACCAGGAGAATATTGTATACAGTAATAGCAATATTGTAATAGTGATCAGCTGTGAAAGATTTAGCTATTCTGATCAATACAATGATCTAAGACAATTCTAAAAGTCTCGTGATGAAAAATGCTATCTGCCTCCAGAAAGACAACTGATGAACTCTGAATGTGAAGTATAATTTTTTTCACTTTCCTTGTTTTTTGTTGCTTTTTTTTTTTCCAACATGGCTAATATGGAAAAATGTTTTGTATCACTTCACATGTATAATTGATAGCATATTACTTGCCTTCTCAGTTGGAGGACAGGAGGGCTGGAGGGAAGGAGAGAATTTAGAACTCAAAATTTAAAAAAAAATTAAAAATTAATAACAAATTTAAAAAATGTATTTGTGGGTTACCTAAGGAAAATTGTAGTTTGAATGTCATGTGCACAAGATAATTGATAAACACTTATTAAGTGTCTGTATTTCAAGGCACTGAGGAGATAAAGGGGGAAAAGCAATCTGCCTTGAAAAAAATTTGTATTTTACTGGACCTATATAACATATACACAAATAAAATACAAGGCAAATTGTGGAAAGGAGGGAGCACTACTTATAAGGGGGTGTGTCACGGAAGACTTGACAGAAGTGGCATCTAAGCTGAGTTCATCAAATTAAGAATGAAAATGGAGAACTCAGAGTGGGATATGCAGTTGGAGTCTGTTGGCAAACGGGAATAATTTAGAATTTAGATCTTTCCTTGGGTATTCTGTCTCAAATGCTAAAAGTGACTTAAAGTTTATTGTTGCTCTGGAAAGTAGAATTTTGAAGCCCTTAGTTCTAAAATCAAAAAGTATTACCTTATCAGAGCAGTAAATCTGCTATCTACAACATTCGTGAATAGTGTACTCTGATTAACCATGGTTTAGTTCTGTATCATGTTGCTTTATTTTAATTTTTTTTAATAGTGGATCAATGAGACAATATTAGTGCCACTTGTTCAGGAAATTGATTCTGTCAGTACACAGATGAGAAGAATGGGCTGCCCAGAGCTACAGATAGGAGGTATGGATAAAAGTATACATGAGCATTTCCATTTTCTTGAGTGCTTCCATTAGAAGAAAATTCTGTACTGAGGGTAGGTTATTTAGCCAGTTTCATTTGACTGTTCTGCATTGACACCTGAAGTTGGAGGAAAAAAATATTAATGCCCAAATATTGCTAATTGAGCAAAGCAGTTAAACTAATAGAACAAATTGAAAACCTCCAGGAGTTTTCTTTTCATTATATTTTTTATTATCCTTTCACTATTTGCAATAATAATAAACTCTTAGGCAGACTATGTGTTGATTATTCTTGCATGACAGATTTTCAACCATAAAACTGAGTCTGTTAGAGCTCCAAATTCCAGTGAGGCAGATTAACTGTTAAAATTATGCCAAAATATGCCATTCTTTGTTAGCTCAAAAGTATAATGAATGTATTACCTTGGTAATTTTTAAGTCACCTATTTTTAGACTCTCACCTGTTTAAAAAAAAATTGGCAGAGGTACTTCAGGTGGCTATGTCCCTATGATACATTTGCTCTTCATGATCCTGTACTGTGCAAAAGGCAGTAGAACTAAGGTCCTACTTCACTGCTTTTTCTTGGCATGGAGGTAACTAACCTCTGATTCTCCAAGGCCATGCCAGCAGAGTGGAAGCTTAGTCAAGAACCAAAGTAGAAAGCGTTCTAGACAGCACCTGGTGATAGATTCCATTGTCTGTGATCCAGCCTAAAATCAGAGGCTCATTGCCATGTTGGCCACAGGATGATCAATTCTCAAGGACAGCTGCCGAGTTATAGATGGATTGCAGTCATCATCAGGAGAGGGAGTACATAACTCAGATGAAATTGCAGATCCTTGTAAAAAGATTTAATAACAGAATTTTGGGATGATTCAGATCTGTGTGAATAATTGCTCTTAGGAATATTTAGATCATTTGGATTATACAGTAGTTCTTTCTTATCATTAGGTGTGTTTTAGTCATTTTCTTCCCTCTTAACTATAAACAGAAATGTTCCAAAATGTCAAATGTTTTCCCAGGAGTCATTTCTTGACTCTGCAATATACTTTTGCAACTATGCTTGCCCTTTCTGCCTTTTAGTGATATTTTAATGGCTTCATGAGTAGCATAGTACTCTTTCTTGATTGAAAGGACTTTTTTTATCTACAGAATAATCATCTATTAGTACAACAGGCAATTTTCAGTAGAACTTTTTAAGCATTATCCAATAAGGGACTAACAATAAAAATGTATCTTTATATTTAGATGTGTGTCATACAGATTTTATTGGTACATAAAAGCTTAAAATATCTCTCTAATTGCTTATAGATTTAGTCTTTAGATGATAGTCTGTGAGTAAAGGAGAAATTTGTCAACATTTCTTCTAAGGTAATAAGTCAGTAGGCAGGCACTCATCCTTGCCATCAAGATAAACCATAACCCCATTCTGTAAGAATTTAAAAGTACAGGGGGCAGCTAGGTGGCGCAGTCAATAGAGCACTGGCCCTGGATTCAGAAGGACCTGAGTTCAAATTTGACCTCAGACACATAACGCTTACTGGCTGTGTGACCCCGGGTAAGTCACTTAACCCCATTGTCTAGCCAAAAAAACAAACAAAAGAATTTAAAAGTTGTAATTCTTCTTTACATCATGAGTGATGTGAAAATGTTAAATATGAATGTATATGTAAAGCCTATATCAGATTGCAAGCCATCTTGGGGAGGGAAGGAGGGGGAGAACATTTAGAACTCAAAATCTTATGGAAGTGAATGTTGAAAACTAAAAATAAATTTTAAAATAAAGGGAAAGGTAATGTTAATTTTAAAAAGAATTTAAAAGTAAACTAATATTTGAGGATACTTCTTTAAAGATGTTAAGTAGACTTGCATGCATAATGATCTGTGGTATATGATTTTTGTTGTAATGGGATTTCCTCTCCTCCCTTTATTTTTTTCCAGAAGCTAGTATTACTAGCTTGAAACAAGCTGCCTTGGTCAAAGCCCCACTCATTCCAACTTTGAATACTATAGTGCAATATCTAGACCTCACACCAAACCAGGAATACTTATTTGAAAGGATCAAAGGTAAGCTATTGTTTATTGTCTATTACTTAAAACCTTTTAGACTAGGGCACAAAAAGAATAAGAACGTGGTCACAGCTAATATCTGTCAAAGGGAGGACTTCTCTTCACTTATACCCTGTTACCTCTCTTGAAGAGTAGGTATGGGTATGGGTGTGGGTATGAGTGTGGGTGTGTGTTGTGACCAAACTTTAAGTGAGAAGACTATATCAAAGTAGATCAGCATCTGCTCTGTAGCATTGTTGCCCAGAAGCAACACTGAAAGAAACCCAAGTCTGCCTCCATCTCTCCATTACATCATGCTGCTTCTCGTTGTGTGTGTTTGAAAGCTTATTAGTCACCAGTACAGAAAAATAAGCTTCCTGTGTACAAGGTGTAGGCATTTTGAATATTTAGACATCATTTCTCTTTTCTTCAGAATACTAAAGGTGGACTCTTTCCTTGTTGTCTTTCCAGAAGAATAGAACCTACTGAATGCTGTTTCTCCTAATTCATTTGTATTTCTTAGAATAACTTAGTCAGTCTTTAATGTTACTGTATTTCTTTCTTGGATCTTTTTTGCTCTGCCTCCTTAACAGGAGAGAGATAGGATTTAGTAATAAGTAAGCTACCTTGAAAGTCATTAGCTCCTCAGACAGAGTCATAAAGAATTTCCTTATTCTTCTCTACATGGTGAGGTTGTGAAGGAAAATAAATAATATAAGTAATATTTTTTAAAATTGGTTTTGTAAAATGTTTTCATTGCTTAAATAACTTTTAGGGTTAGATTTGTTTTGCGTTTGTTTTTCTTAGAAGAAAAAATCGTTTCTAGAAATCATTGATGTATTTCATTAAGGTTCTCAGCTGCAATGTTTTTTCATTCTTATCATCTTTATGATTTTAAATAACCTGATATCAACTCTTTCCAATCACAGAACTCTCCCAAGGTGGTTGCATGAGCTCATTCCGATGGAATAGAGGTGGGGACTTTAAAGCACGAAAATGGGATACAGACCTGCCCACTGATTCTGCTGTGAGTCAATATGATTGCTTTTAAATATTTTTGAAGAAATTTATTTATGCCCAGAGACTGTTTTATGTCAGAATAAGAATTTTAAAAGTTTACGTTAAAGCAACAACTGGAAATTATATGTGTGTGTTTTTAATTTTGGTTCTCTCTAGCTATGTAGGCTTGGCTAAGTTCTAACCAGTTATCAGAAATGTTATGTTTATTATCATTAAATGTGTAAATTAAGTATTAATCATATATAATGCATTTCCATGCTTTCTTTGGGAGATCTAAGTTCTAGAGGAAAGTTTGTCCTGAGTTTCTTTTCATGGTAGTCACTGTCTGAATTAATGATGAATCTGTTTCTGTTGATTGCCATTTTTCAGTGCTGATTTATTTTGTTTACAGATCATTATGCATGTATTTTGCACTTATCTTGACTCTAGACTACCTCCACATCCTAAGTATCCTGATGGAAAAACATTTACTTCTCAGCACTTTGTTCAGACACCAAATAAACCAGGTAGAGAATTTTCTTGAAAGTAGGTATTGGGATTTTTTGGTGGAGTATCTTTACATTCTAAGCTTAGCTTTCTCTTTTTAAATTGATACTCTGCAGATGTTACAAATGAAAACGTTTTTTGTATCTACCAGAGCAACATTAATCCTCCCCATTATGAGCTAATTTACCAGCGTCACGTCTACAGTCTTCCAAAGGTACTTTGGTATTTTGTATTTATCATACACGCATTTTGTAAAAGATGGACTACTTTAACTTTGAAAAAATATTCACTCATTTATGAAACTAAGAAATGCTTTTCTTACAGAAAAATGCCTTACTGCAAATTAATACCAAAACAATCACCTGTGTCAGTAACTAATGATGATTTTTTTCCACTGTCATATTTACTAACACCTTTTACATGTAGCTGTATTCCTAATTTATGATCTCTACCAAATTCCAGTAAAGCACACACAGTAACATAAAAGGCTGACAAAATGCCAAAGTAGATAAGGAATATTTATAATTAGCACATTATTTGAATGCTAAAATCCTTTGACAATGTTTGAAGTTTTTTGGTTTTTTTATGTAGACTAATTACATTTTTCCTCCCCCACCTCTGCATAGCCATTTGCTTAGCAGACTTTTTTCTTATAAGGCACAAGGGAGTAAATCTCATTCTATACCTGAATTAAACAAGAACTTTTTAATTATTAGGGTCTAACATAATGAAGTTTTACTGTATTTACCTATCAGATTGAATTTTCATATTTTTTTCTTAATTTTTTTTCCGAAATTCAGGATAGAAATAACATGTTCCATACATTATTGATGTTCTTATACATCATAAAGACCAAAGAGTCAGGAATGCTTGGGTAGGTATAAAATGCTATTTCAAGCATAAACCCTTCTTTTTTAAATGGCTTCTCATATCTTGCTTTTTCTGTTGAGCTTCTATAGTTATTATATAGTCAGAGTCCTATTTCTAGTCATAGTGGTTAGTGCCAATTCTATTAAATTGTTCTTAGCATCTTTATTGAAATGAAACTTAGTTGAAATGTATTAAGTTCTTTATTATTATCATTGTTTAATGTTTAATATAGCTCAAGTTTAAGTCCAGCAAACTTGAGGTGGTGCTATAAATTGTTGATTGTTAGGTGGCACCAAGATAACAGAATAGCAGGAAGAAATATGGTCCAGCTTTTCTAACACAACCCCTCCACGAAGATCTAGGAAATAACACCAGACCAATCCAAATAGGGAAGTTCAAGAGGAAAAAAAACCCACAGCATGTCACTTTCCCAGCCCGAGTTAGCATATAGAGAGGTCTGTGTACACTGGGGATGGAATCTAGCCAAGAGTAGATCACATGCAAGAACTTAAAAAGAACCAAAGCTGTGTACCAGAGCAAAAAGAGATCCTAGTTGGTCCTTGACCTTGTGCAGGGTGGAAGAGCAGGTGCCAGCTGGCATCTCTGTTGCTTACTATCCAGTTTCTATATCACATATTCGGGTCTGACTGAAGAGGGGCCTGAGCTGAGGGGTGGCAGTCCAGGATGAGCAGTGGTCACAGGCTGTTGGCTGTGTACTGAGCTAGGAACAAATTCAGAAGCAAACAGTGGGTTGTGTGACTCAGACCTTAGGAGCTGAGCAGGGGTCTCAGTTCTAGACTTCAGCCCAGTCTGAAGCCTACAGCAGAACAACCAGAGCAGTATCTTAGATCAAAGGGAAGCCTGTATTTATGTCATTCAGAAGCTGCAGAGCTTTCCAAGTGCCTGAGAGTATAACACTCAGTACCACAAAAAAAAAATATGAGAAGGACCAAGAGGACAAAAAAACTTAGTGCTTGAAGGGCTCCAGACATACGCAGAATCTGACCCAAACATAAAGTCAAAAAACAGAAAGTAGGAAGAATGAGCAAACCAAAAAAAAATTAAGTAAGAATCACACCATAAAGAGCTGTTATGGTGACAGAGACAACTAAAGACACAATCCCAAAAAAAGAAAGTTACTCCAAAACATATGTAAGAAAGCTCTCAAAGGAAAACACAACTTGGATACAAGTTCAGCTAGAATTTTTGAAAGAGATAAAGCAAGAGTTTTTTGTTTTTAAAAGTAAAATGAGAGCTATGGAAGAATGGTTGGGAAAGAGAATTACAGCTTGGAATAAGAGGTACAAACCTCACCCAAGAAAAAACTTCAGAGCTTGGGAATTGGCCAAATAGAAACCAGTGACTCCATGAAACAAGAAATATTGAAACAGGGTGTAAATCTCATCCTATATCTGAATTAAACAAAAAAAGAATGAAAAAATAGAAGAAAAATGAGGTATCTGATACCAAAAACAACTAACCTAGAGAAGAAAGAGACATAATTTAAGAATCACTGAACTATCAGAAGCCTGCAACAAAAAGCCTAAACATCACATTTCATGAAATCATAGAAAACTGCCCAGATTTCTTAGAACTAGTGGGTGAAGTTGGAATAAAATCTATTGATCACCTCTTAAAAGAAACACAAAATGAAAACTCCCAAGTGTGCTGTAGCCAAAATCTAGAGCTTCTTGGTTAAAGGGGAAAAAAATACTGCAAGCCTGCAGAAATGAGGAATTCCCAAGTATAGAGGAGCCACAGTATCACACAGATTGAGCAGCCAGAATTATAAAAGAGCATAGAGTTTTGATTATGATAGTTCAAAAGGCAAAAAGATAACAGGGTTACAACCAAGAATAATTTACCCAGCAAAACTGAATATAATCCTACAGGGGGAAAATGGACCTTTAATAAGACTTCTAAGCATTCCTGATGAAAATCCCAGACAGAGCTGAGTAGAAAGTTAGAAATACAAACACAGGAATCAAGAATTTTAAGAAATAAACAGTCATAAGGCACTAAACAAGGATAAAAGTTTATATCCTAATGTGTGGAGGTGAGATATAGATATAGATACCTATATGTATATAGATACACATTTGTATATACATGTATGTTATATATATAAAATACATATCTCCCCTCAGAATTCTGTCATTATCAGGGGTTCAGAGGGGAAGTTTAATTAGAGGGCCTACGTGCGGTTCTGTTTTGATAATCTTAAAAATGGAAAGGCAAAGGAAGAGAAATACTAAAGAGGGTGAGGGAGAGGAAGGATAGAGAAATTATCTGATATAATTGGGATTCACCCATGTTCATACAAATAAAGAGGAAGTAGAAGGTAGGAGTGCATGAAACCGGCTATACTTGAACCTCTCATTTGATCTGGTCAGAGGAGGAAAGAATATAAATATACTTAATTGGGTGTAGGAATACATTTCACTCAACAGGGAAACAAGGAAAGGGAATAAAAGGAAGGGTAGAAAAAGGGAGGGATTAGTAGTAAGCAAAATAAATAGAAGGGGGAGGGTAATGAAGAGAAGGAAGAGTTTAAGAAAATAGGATGGAGGAAAATACACAATTAACAATCATAAACTGAATGTGAATGGAATGAATTCACCTATGAAATGGAAGATGATAACAATTGACTGGAAAGCAAAATTCAGTGGTGTTGCACATACTTGAAACAGAAAGGTGTATGCAGTTAAAATAAGGGACTAAAACAAAATCTTTTATTTCTTTCTTTTATTGATTAAAGTGTTTAGAAACAAAAATTTTCCCCTAAGGACTGATTGATTTAGATGCATGCTAGAAAATTTTGGTATATTGTCCTACTGTCCTGTATACTGTCACTACCAATAAAATTGTTCCTATTATTCGTTCTTTGACCTGTCCTTTAGGATTAAGATTTTTTGGGTTAGATTTACCTCAGTCTGAGAAGGGTAAACTGATGTCCCCTAATATCAGTTTTATTATTTCTCCATGTAACTCATTTGATTTTCCTCTTAAGAATTTAAATGCTATTGCATTTGATGTTTATGTTTAATATTGACATTGTCTATGACAACTTTCAGTAAAATGTAGTTTCCCTATTTATTTCTTTTAGTTGTCCACTTTTGCTGTTGCTTTGGGATCATGATTGTTACTCCTGCCCTTTTCACTTCAGTTGAAGCATAATAGATTAAAGAATTGGGCATACAACTAGAAAAAAGGGTTTTTTAAGCTTGAAAATAGAAATCCGGAAAAACAAAGAAGAATTTATCAGAATTGAAAGCCAAAAAACTATTGAATTAACAAATAAAATGTGTTTAAAAACTTACTCTTAAAAAAAACAAAACAGCAAAATAGGGTATTAGCTAACTTAGTTTTTAAAAAAGAAAAAATCATCAATATCAAAAAAATGAAAAAAGGGAATTTAAACCAATGAGGAAGAAAGAAATGATTAGGGATTATTTTACCCAATTTTATAACAAAACTAAAATCTAAATGAAATAGATGAATATTTATAAAAACATAAAATGCCCAGATTAACAGAACAAGAAATATAAGACTTAGATAACTGAATCCTAGGAAAATAAATTTAGTAAGCCATAATTCTACTGCCAAAGTGGGGGGAAAAAAACAACTGGGTATCAGATGTACTTAGAAGAAGCAAATTGTATCAGACATCTAAAGAATAATTCATTCTAATGCTACTAAAATGTTTGGGGCGGGAGAACAGAAAAAGGAGGAATCCTACTATGTCTCTTTTGTGATACAAATATGGTCTTGACTATCACTACTTCCTTTAATTTGATTCCAAACATCCAAATATTAAGAATAGATGTAACTGTCATCAATTAGGTTGAAAGACTCAGAAGTGGTTTCCTAAAATCATATATGTCTACACAATTACCTCTTATGTAATAATCTAATTATCTTAGAGTACAGAATTAGACATGCATGTTTTAGACATTGCCAGTAAGGTAATTTGATTTACTTGACTGCATATTTCTACAAGAAATTTACTTTTTTTTTCCCATTGTTTTCGAATAAAATGAAGGCTGAAAGGAAAGCAAATTTCTTTTCATTTTTTAAAGGGAGAAAACAGATGTATTTTAGTGAAAAAATTAACAACGGCCCCCAGCCCAAATATGGTCTTGATACCTAAACTAGAGATAATGAAAACAAAGAAAGAAAACTATAGACTTAATGTCTCTAATGAACGTTAATGCAAAAAGATATATAAGCAAGGAGACTACAGCAACATATCACAGAGATTTTATACATCGATAACCAGGGTAGATTTATAGTAGGAATTCAGGGCTGGTTAAATATTAAGAAAATTATTAACCATACTAATAACACCAATAAAAGCCATGATTATTTCAATGGATGGAGAAAAATCTTTTGACAATTCAATAACCATTCCTGTTTTTAAAAAACAACTGCAAAGGAATAAATGGACCTTTCCTTAACATAAGTGATAGCTATGTAAAACCAAGAGCTAGCTTTATAACGAGAATAAACTGGACGTATAAAACAAGGGTGTCTTATCACCATTACTATTCAATATAGTGCTAGGAATTCTAGTTATAGTTAATAAGACATGAAAAAGAAATTAAGAGAATAAGCATAGGCAAAGAGAAACAAAATTTTCTTTTGTTCCCAAAACATGATGATTTACTTAGAGAACCCTAGAGAGTCATCTGAAAAACTAATTGAAACAATTAACATCTTTAGCAGAGTTGTAGGATGTAAAATAAACTCATACAAACCAACAGCATTTCTATATATTGTCAACAGAATCTAGCAGGAAGAGAAAATTAGGGTTACAAAACACTTTACACAAATAAAGACATCTAAATAATTGGAGAAATATTAATTGCTTAAGGATAGACTAAGCTAATATAATAAAAATGATAATACTGCTTAATTTATTGTATCCTCCCAAAAGTTATTTTGCACAGCTAGAAAAAAAAAACAAAATTTCACCTGAAGGAACAGCTCAGCACTGTTCATCTTTATAATAATAGTTCACATTTACGTAGCACTTCTGATTATCAAAATTATTATGGTTATCTTTTTAAAAACTTACATGTGGTCTGGATCCATCGAAATTCTTTTTTTCTTTACAGGAGGGTTAATCTCGGCCTTTCAGGAGTGAATATTTTGTGGATTTTTGGAAAATAGCTCGACTAATCTCTTGCTTTTGATCTCCTTTATTTTAACTGGTAATTAATGAAAAAAAATTGGGAAGGGGACCTGACAGTAGCAGATCTCAAACTATACTACAAGCAGTAATCTTCAAAGTAATTTGGTATTGGTTAAACAATAGGTTGATCAGTGGAACATATTTTCTGTGGCATAAGCTACAGAAGAAGCAAATGAGCACAGTAACCTAATGTTTGATAAATCCAGTGATCCTGACTATTGGGGCAGGAACTCGGTATTTGATAAACATTGTTGGAAAAACTGAAGGCAGTTTGGCAGAAACTAGGCATAGACTTAACACCTCACACCACAAAGAAGTTAAACTCCAGAATGGACATGTGACTTTAGTTGTCAAGTGACATCAAAAACAATTTAGAAGAGCAAGGAAAAAATTACCTTTCAGATCATTGAGTGAAGGGTGAGTTCATGATTGAACAAGAGATAAGAGAGGACCACAGAAAGTAAAATGGGCGGTTTTGATTACATAAAGGTTTTTGCACAGACAAAATCAATGTAGCTAAAATTAGAAGAGAAGCAGGTAGTCATTCAATAATCAGTAAACATTTATTAAGTACTTATTATGTGCCAGGTACTTTACTAAGCACTGAAGATTTTTTTAAAATATCAATCTCTGCCTTCAGTCTAATGAGGGAACACAACGCATAAAATGAAGCTGATGGGCTGGGGGGGGGGTGAGGGCAGTGGGTGGCGGTGGTGAGGAGTCACCCAAATTGGGATTGGGGCGGGGAGGGGAGTGGGAAGAGATCTGAGCCAGATTTGTTCCCGAATCTTACACTGTTTCTGAGTTTCTGGAGATAATGAAATCCAGGAAATTGGCAGGGTGGGAAATAATGAGGTGAATTCCCTGGTACCCTCACAGGTAAATGGGGAATGTGGTTTTTTTGTTTGTTTTTTGGCTAGGCAATGGGGTTAAGTGACTTGCCTAGGGTCACACAGCTAGTTAAGTGTCAAGTGTCTGAGGCCAGATTTGAACTCAGGTCCTCCTGACTCCAGGATTAATGCTCTATCTACTGTGCCACCTGGCTGCCCCGGGAATGTGTTTTTCAACAAGTTTCTGATACAGGTCTCATTTCTAAAATGTATAGGGAACTGATTAAGATTTATAAGAATAAGAGCCATTTCCAATGATAAATGGTCAAAAGATATGAACCGGCTGTTTTCAGAGGCAGAAATCTGTGCTATCAATAGCCACTTGAGATAATATTCTAAATCACTAATAATTAGAGAAATGTAAATTAAAATAATTCAAGTTCCACCTTATACCCATCAGATTGCTATTTCTAAATATTGTTAAGTAGAGCAATCCAGCATTGTTCATCTTTATGATAATAGCTCACATTTCAGGTAGTATAGTCATCAAAATTATTATGGTTATAAAAAGAGACATATTCTGGATAAAAATCCATTTAAACTCTTTTTTTTCTTTACAGGAGGGTTAATCTTGGTCTCTCAGGAGGAATATTTTGTGGATTTTTGGAGAATAGCTCATTTATCTATTTTGAGCTCCTTTAATTTGACTGGATCAAATAAAAATGTCATCCTTTTTGAAGAAGATTCTAAGACTCCTGTTGCTGCACAGTCTGAAATAGGATACATAACACACTCCCGACAAAATGAAAGCTGTAGTAGTAAGAAGCTGTTGTCATTGTTAACTCTGACATCTTCTGTTACAAAAAAAGTCATCAATTTTGGTTTACATACTTTCAGGGTTTTGTAATTATCTGCTATAAATATTGCCCTCTAGAGTTCCTTTGAAGAGAGTGTGTCATCTTTTTAATAAACTAGGGTTTGGGGGTGACCCTCAGAAATGAATCCATTCCATAGGATCGCAAAACCACATACCTAAGGTAGTTTCACAATCCGTTTTCAGTCTCAAGTATTTTGGCATAGGTTCATATCTTAAAGACAGTAAATTGTGAACTTAGTTGGTAATTTGTCCCCAGATTTCCCATCTTATGAATCACACGAGACATAAAAGCTTAACTATTGGTTAAAACTAATTTACCAGAGATAGTAAAAAGATTTTACAGTATTAGTTCCAAAGAATCTGAATTTAAGTTAAACTTGAAATTTTGACAGAATTTCATTCAGCTCTTTTCATCAAGTTTCTCAGGGGTATTGGGGATTAGTGAGTAACAAAGAACTTTATAACATTTGGTTTTAATATGCCATTCACAGTATTGTATTATTTGAACATTTCCGTCTTTTAAAGTTAAAATGTCAGCCTACCTGTTTTAAACTCTCCAGAAAAAAATTATTAATGCCAAGAGAAAGTATACTTTTTGTATTTTCTTCTTTCAAAGAAGGGAAAGGGGGTAGATTGTAAATAATTGAGTGTGATAGTGAATGTGTAGCTAGAAACTTAAGGATTACTAGGAGTTTGTGTTTATTAAAAAATGGGTTTATTAAAAATGTCATACCAAACTAGTTACATTTCCTTTTTTTTTCCTCTACAATATTACTACATTAGGAAAATGCTGCAAACATACCTGGATTTCTCTAAGGTTTTTTTTTTGTTTTTTTGTTTGTTTTTTTTAGCAAGGCAGTTGGGGTTAAGTGACTTGCCCAGAGTCACACAGCTAGTGAGTGTTATGTGTCTGAGGCCACATTTGAACTCGGGTCCTCCTGACTTCAGGGCCAGTGCTCTATCCACTGTGCCACCTAGCTGCCCCTCTCTAAGGCTTTTGATAGTCTGTCATACACATGTGGGTAAGGTGGAAGAATATGGATGCTAATCTAGTTAGATGGATCCATAGCTATCTGACCATATCCAAAGAGTTATCAGATTATCAGTTGTCCTCCTAGAGGAAGAATTCTAGCAACATACTATAAGACTGCCTTTCACTCTCTTCTTATCAGTGAATTCAATAAAGACATAAATGGTATGTTTACAAGATAGAGTTGGTAGGCTAGCTAATATATTGGCTAATAGATTCATCCAATCTTACTTGGTAAAAATTATGGGCTAGATCAAGCTCAATATGAATTAGAGTGAGAATGACAGCTTACAAAAGCTAATGTAATTTTAGGGTGTATGTAGTACTCTGAAGCTTACAGAGCACTTTGCTTATAGCAGCCCCGTAAGGTATGCCACTGTTACCCAATTTTATAGAAAAGGTACCAGAAAGGTTAGGTAATTTGACCATAGTCACAGTACTTCTTAAGGTCAGAGCCTAGATTTGCCCTCTAAGTCCAGTGCTGCTTCTTCTGTACCGTATTCCCACTCTAATAGCCTGTAGTGTCCAAAAAAAGACAATGATTGTTCCACTTTTACTCAGCATTGATCAGATTAAACCTGATGTGTTTGGCTCGGGGCACCACAAACAAACCTATTTTTACTATCAATACAGAAACTGTTGTTTGTTTTAGGTCAAGAACATTGGCTGTGATGTCTTGGGGGAAAAATGTGAACTTGAAGTTGTTATAAACATTAAAATTTGTCAGACTTCAGTGGGTGGTGATCGAAAATATCATTGTAGAACAGTTGATGGGAAACTGTATATATAATTTGTTTTAAAATGTTTAAAACCAGAATACGAATGATCAAGCATTTCCTCTTCCTTTATGCCTTCTACCCAGGATTTTCAAAAAATCAGACCCATAATAAAATTTGTTTATATGGACAGCACCGTTCTGTCTTTAGCAAGGGTTTGCAATAAAAATAAAATGTAAAAAACTGTCTAGATGATATGTTTGGAAAACAACAACAAGATGTTTTCTGTGGGTATTATGACTTTTTTTGTATTATTGAACTATAATTTGGCTTTGGCATTAACGCATGTTTTTATTTCATTTCTGTTCTAAGGTTAATCAAATTTTGTCCTATACCTAATTTGGGAATCTGTTAACCTTTTAGTATTAGTACTACCACTTAAGAACACTGGTAAGAATAGTTCTGAGTCTGAACTTCAAGAGAAATGCCCGTGTAGTAATGGTGGCTTGAGTGCCGTTTTAAGTGGAAGAGTTTGGATTACATTTGTATGTTGTCTGTTCTCTGATTTCTAAACATTAAAAACGGTGTCTTTTGTGTGTCACTTGAATTTTGGTTATGGAATCAGTCCATTTCTCTACTTAAATTATGTTCATTCTGTTAGTCTTTCCTTCCTCTCCACTCCCCCACCCCCCATCAATTATAGAGTTTCTGTATGAATCAAGTTTTTTCTATGGCAGCTATATTCATGGACCTGAAATTTAGTTTCATGACTTGGAAATTCTGTGTTGCTTGGCTGAATGGGTATTCAACAATTCTAATGGTAGAGGTTTCATTCATGACTTTATCACAACTACTATACCATCTGCAAAAGTCCAGTCTCCCTGCCCTCCCTCCCCATCCAATGTGCACTGTCAAGATATCGAAAGCACAGCTTTCATCACATCTCCATGATCTTCAAAAATGTAGAACCATGGAACTTTATGAGCCGGAAGGGACCCTAGACACGATTAGTTCAGCACCTAAACTGAGCTGAAAGGCAAAGGGGTCACATGACTAAGGTAATACAGGAAATTCCTTGGTGGATCTGGGCTTAGTACCTAGGTATCTTCGTTACCAGGCCATTGTTCTTTTTCCTTGAAAATGAAAGAATGGAAAGGCATTTTTTTTAAACACTCCGTACCAAGATTAAAAGCCAAGCCTTTAGCCTTTTATTCTGAACCTTCTACAAGACATCAGCCTACCTTTCTAATGTTAGTCTCTTTATCCTACACAAACCTTCTGTACTGCCCAAACAACTTGAATGTGCCATTTTGTTTTCTGGCCTCTGTGCTCTGTCTGTAAGGCCTCCCCACCTGTCTATACCCATTCTTATTTTATCTAGCCCCAAAGACCTATTTAAAATCCAGTGTACTCTGGAAATGCTGACTACCCCAAAAATCTTCCTGCTACAGTACTTATTCTCTATTTTCGTGTGTAGATTATGTCGTTTCCCCAACTAAGGTGTAGGTTTCTTTAAAGAAAGGATCTTTATTTTATGTAACTCATTATAGTTCAGTGCTTTGCACGTGGTAAGGTAGTCTTTGTTGGTTGATTAATAAATGTGAATATTAAATGCCTACTACCAGGGACCCAAATACAAAGACTGGTATTTTTTAATTACATTCACAGTCTTTAAACCACCTGCCCTTCTATTAGATTCCTGTAGCAACAGTCCATGCTCCAAGTGGACAGTCAAAACCTAACCATGTTATATTAGTATATAATTAATTCTTAAATTGTGGGATGTAAACAAACACCAAAGTTCTGAAAATGAAGGACTGAATGAGGGCAGTGGTATTGAGCAAGAATGTTACCACTGTTCCCCAGGCGGTTGCATCCTGAGATTACTCGGCTTGTTTCAGTAGTCTTAGAAACCACAGAATTTTGTAGCTGGAAGGTATTTTAGAGATCTAATCCAATCATTTTACAGATAAGAAAACCGACCCAAGATGTGAAGTGACTTGTTCGAGGTCACGCACCTAGTTAATGGTAAACTTGGGACCAGAACCTAGATCTAGTACTAACCATATGTAAGTTACGAAGCCTTGTCCATTACACGCTGACACATCTTCAGTCATTGGAGGGCAGGCGAGGCAGTGGAAGGAACTTGCCTGGGATAGGTACGTAGGAAGAATGAAGCCACGAAATCCTTCGTCTTTGCTTCCTGAGTTTCGTGGATGATCGTGAAGCACTGAGGCAGGCACACCTGCAGTCAGCCCAGGAGAGCGCAGGTGTTGCCACGGAGCCTTTAAACGGCCACTGGCTCCACTTAGTTCCCACCCACACAGAGAAACCTTCGCGTGGGTGCTTTCCTAGTTCTAGCTTCCGCAGGCCATGGAGCTGAGTCCAGAGGACGAGCTACCTGGGGGAGTGGGTCAGAAGGACACCAGCGGCTCGATGGGCTTCCTCGAGACTGCATCCAAGAACACCCGGGTTAGTGGAGGACTCCAGGGCTCCGCTGCTGGCAAGAATATGTGGAGGCAGTGCTGGGGACTCGAGCCTTCAAAGTCTTCTCTTTTCAGAGAGGGTTTGGGCAATTGCCACTGCCCGGCGCTCATGAATGCACCTGCGGCTCGGTTCCATTCCTGGGATGACTTTTGGAGCTTGAGGAACCCAGACTTCACTCGCTGCACACAGCAAGCCCAGCGTATTGTCTGCCTCTGGAGTGGTCCTTCGGTGGCTGCTGACTAATCTTATGAGGAAGGTTGGATTGCTCGGCTTGTTATTTGTCACCAAGGCGATGTCTCTGCTTTTTAGCGTACTGTCCAGATTTGCCATAACTTAAGATCATGTTCATTTTATAATAACTGACCTGTAGGTAATGCTTCAGGGCATCTGGGTGGTGCAGAGGATAGAGCACCAGGCCTGGAGTCAGAAAGACTCGCCTTACTGAGTTCAAGTGTGGCCTCCCGCACTTCCTAGCTGTGTGACCCTGGGCAAATCACTTAATCCTGTTTGCCTCAGTTTGTTCAACTGTAAAATGGGGATAATGAGCATCTACCTTGCAGGGTTGTCGTGAAGATCAAATGAGATATTTGTAAGTTCTTATCACAGTACTTGGCACATACTAGGAATATAGTAAATATAAATATAAACAAATGAATGTTTATTAGTTCCTTCCCATGAAAGTGATATAAATAAGATGCCATAGGGTGCATAGGAGAGAGAGATCTGGCTGGGGTGATCTGGGAAAGAGCCGGCATTTGAGTTGAATCTTTAAGAATGGATAGACTTTTGATAAGATTCAGATATGGATAGGAAGATGGGCATCCCTTCAATTTCCAATTCTTTGCCACAACAAAAAGAGCTGCTATATTTTTGTACAAATAGATCCTTTTCTCTTTTTCTTTAATCTTTTTGGGATACAGACCTAGCAGTGGTATTGCTGGCTCAAAAGGGTATGTAGTTTTATAGCCCTTTGGGCATAGTTCTAAAAATGCTCTCCAGAATGGTTAGACCAGTTCACAACTCCACCAACAGTGCATTAATGTCTCAATTTTCCCACACCCCCTCCAACATTTATCATTTTCCTTTTCTGTCACATTAGCAAATCTGATATGTATGAGGTAGTTGTTTTCATTTGCATTTCTCTAATCATAGTGATTTCAAGCATTTTTTTATATGACTATGGATAGCTTTGATTTCCCCTTCTGAAAATTGCCTGTTCATGTCCTTTGTTCATTTATCAATTGGGGAATGACTTGTATTCTTATAAATTTGACTCCTATATATTTGACTCTCTATATATATAATTTGAAAAATTAGGTCCTTATTATGAGAGATACTTGTAAAAAAAATTTACCCAGTTTTCTGTTTTCCTTTTAATCTTGGTTGCATTGGGGGTTTTTGTGCAAAAACTTTTAAATTTAACATAATCAAAATTACCCATTTTACATCTCATAATGCTCTCTATCTCATGTTTCATCATGCATTCTTCCCTTATCCATAGATATGATAGGTAAATCATTCTTTGCTCTCCTAGTTTGCTTATGGTATCACCCTTTATGTCTAAATCATGTACACATTTTGACCTTATCTTGGTATATGGTGTAAAATGTTGTTCTATACCTGGTTTCTGCATACTGTTTTCAAGTTTTCCCAGCAGTTTTTGTCAAATACTGAGTTCTTGTCCTAAAAGCTTGGGTCTTTGGGTTTATCAAACACTGGATTACTATGGTCATTTACCTTGTATCATGTCCCTAATCTATTCCATTGATTCACCACTGTTTCTTAGCCAGTACCGGACAGTGATGATTATCACCGTATTATATGACTTGAGATCTGGTACAGCTAGGCTACCTTCCTTCACACTTTTTTTTCCATTAATCCCCTTGATATTCTTGACCATTTGTTCTTCCAGATGAATTAGCTCTATAAAATATTTTTTTGTAATTTGATTGGTATAACACTGAATAAGTAAATTAATTTAGGTAGAATCGTCATTTTTATTATATGGGCTTGGCCTACCTGTGAGCAATTGATATGTGTTTTTCCAGTTATTTAGATCTGACTTTATTTCTGTGAGAAGTGTATCATAATTGTGTTCTTATAGTTCCTGGATTTGTCTTGGCAGGTAGACTCCTAAGTATTTTATATGGTTTACAGTTATTTTAAATGAATTTCTCTTTCTATCTCTTGCTGCTGGGCTTTGTTGGTAATATATAGAAATGTTGACAATTTATGTGAGTTTATTTTATATCCTGCAACTTTGCTAAAGTTGTTAATTATTTCAAGTAGTGTTTTTAGTCCAGTCTAGGATTCTCTAATTATACCATCATATCATCTGCAAAGAGTGATAGTTTTGTTTTGCTGGTACTCTTTTGGAGCAAGAAGAAGGATCAGGGTTCTAACTTTCTGTCCATTTCCCAGGGCACAGTCTGCTCTTCTCTCTCTCTTTTTTTTTTTTTAGGCAATTGGTGTTAAGTGACTTGCCCAGGGTCACACAGCTAGTAAGTGTCAAGCATTTGGTCTGAGGCTGGATTTGAACTCAGGTCCTCCTGACTTCAGGGCCAGTGCTCTATCCTCTGCATCACCCAGCTGCCCCTTCCCTCACTTTTTCTCAAGCCTACTTACTTGGTGTGGCCTGAGATTGCTCCACCACCATTAAACATTCTCTGGATTGGAGACCTCTCGATGGTGTTTGGGCAATACAGATGGAGGTAACACATCCCAGCTCCCACCAGCATTGCTAAATAGCATCCTGAAATCCTGGATCCCACCATGTACACATAGAATAGTGATACTTAATCTGAGGTCTACTGACTCCTAATGGGTAGGTAAATAGATTTCAGAGATCCACTTAGTTGGATAGGGAAAAACTCCTCTAATGTAGTGAAAGAAATATAGCATTTACTTCAATTATGATTTTTTAAAATTAATCTGAGAGGGGGCAGCTAGATGGCACAGTGGATAGAGCACTAGCCTTGGAGTCAGGAGGACCTGAGTTCAAATCCAGTCTCAGACCAGACACTTGATTCTTACTAGCTGTGGGACCCTGGGCAAGTCACTTAACCCCTATTGCCTCACCAAAAAAAAGAAAAAAGTTAATCTGAGAAGGGGCTTCACCAGTGTGGCAAAGAGATCCACGTCACAAAAAAAGAGTTCTAAGAATCCCTAATCTAGAACCTGGAAAAGAGAAGAAGTAGAGGCCTACATGGGCAATTCAAGACCCATGGCAACAGAATAAATGTTTGCCTTCTTCCTCCCTACCCCCAAGCTGACCTCATAGAAAGAACCATAGAACATATAGAATGTTATTGACAGAAGGGACCTGAGATCACCTAGCCTGAACCTCACATTCTACAGATGAAGAAATAGACCCAGAAAGGGTAAGTAGCCTCCTCAAGGCAACAGCTGGTTAGTGGAAGAGTTGGGACGAGATCCCCAGCCTCTTGACTCCCAGTCCAGTGCCCTGTCTATTAAACTGAGTTCTGAGGGAGTGATGCATGAAGGTAACTTTTTTTTTCCTGATTAAACTTGATTTAGGAAAAATGGAATATTTGGTAAAAAGAAAATTAACAGGTATTACCTTAATAAAACAAAATTAATGGATATCCTCCGAAAAGTAGAGCCAGAAGTGCATTCCAACATGGCCAAGGTGTTGGTTTATTCTGCCTGACTCTACGTATTTGTGGGAGTGCTTTTACTCAGGGTGGTAAATTGAGGGATGCAAGGAAGATGGGTTGAGGAAAGTCATAAACATGAGGGAAAAGAGGAAAAGTTATAATATCTTTCTTATTGTAATTAATATATCTTGAGATATTTACTTTAAAAAAAAATCTCCACACCTCCTGTTACTTATTGGTTTCAGTCCACTTCTTCCATCTTGTCATTAAGACTGCTGATAAACAATCATACTGATACTGACATCCCCACCTAGCGTGGTGCAAATCAATTGTGAAATAGCTTCATGACAGCAGAAGTGGGGTGTGGGGTGGAGGAGGGAAAAAAAAAGAATCGAGGGATTCGAAGAGCTAAAAATAGGCTCATCTGATCATGTGTTGCTGACATTTTTTACATTGCTGAGATGGAAAGGAGGCTGGATTTGGAATTGGGGGGACCTGTATTCAAATCCTGCTTCTTCTACTTACTACCTGTAGAACCTTGGGCAAGCCACTTAACTTTCTGCTCTGGGCCTTAGTTTCCTCATCTGTAAAATGAGGAAGTTGGTCTAAATGGGTTCTAAAGTCCGAGGTCTGTGGTCTGATGAACTTGGGTACAATAGGTGGAAACCAGAGAGACAGATTCCAGTTCATTATTCCTTTTTTCCTTTTTCTTTTTGGTGAGGCAATCGCGGTTGAGTGACTTGCCCAGGGTCACACAGCTAGTAAGTGTGAAGTGTCTGAGGTCGGATTTGAACTCAGATCCTCCTGACTCCAAGGCCGGAGCTCTATCCACTGTGCTACCTAGCTATCCCAGTTCAGTGTTCCTAATGGAGGTCCTAAGTGGAATGGGTCAGGTAGCTTGTGTTCTCCTCCTAACTGGGAGGCTATCTGGACATGTTATACAGGAAATTCTTAGGTATGCACTAGATTAATAATAATATGAGGCTTGCAAAGCATTTTACAAATATTGTCTCAGTTTTATTTTCACAACAGTCCTGGAAAGGTAGATGCGATTATGCCCATTTTATAGATGAGGAAACTAAGGTGGACAGAGGTGAAACGGTAGCTTGCCCAAGGTCACACTGCTTATAAATGCCTGAAGCTGCATTTGCACTTGGATCTTCCTGACTTCCGGTCCAGTGCTGTCTCCTCTGCACAGCCTAGATGGCTCCAGATAATCTTAGAAGGCAGTTCTGTGAATGAAATATAGAATGCAGAACATCAAGTATGTTCAGATTCTTCCTGGAGTGCCTGGTACATAGTAGGTGCTTAATACGTGCTGCTTGTTTGAGTATAAGAAGAAGGAAGGAAAGCTAGGTTGGTCAATAAGCATTTATTTAGCGGTAGGGAGGAGAAAATGAAGCAATTACATGCTTCTTACATTACAAGTAATTAGTAATGAAGCCAGGTCCCACAGGTCTCATCTATCAGTCAAGAGACTATTATTAAATACCAGGTGCTGTAATAAGCCTTGATATACAAAGACAAAAATGAAATGGTCTCCTGCCCTCGTGGAGCATATGTTCTGACGAGTGGTAAGAAGTCCTTGGGCCGGGCCCAGCAGTAGAATGGACAGCACAAAGAATTCCTGCGATGACATCACAAGGCTGGGGAAGGGGAAGTCCGCATTCTAACCCCCAGCTCCACCCACTCTGCCTGAGGCTAAGAGCAAACCGGTTTGTACCCCTGCCCCTTGGCTTTTTAAGACCCCACAAGAGTGTGAGTGTGATGCTCGATTCATTTGCACTGAAGAGTTCCTGCCTCGGAGGCTAGCGCTGTGGAGGCTTGCCTGGGGATGCAGAGCCGCTAAGGCAAGGTTATCGGAAGCTGGCTGGTTCCTTCCACTCCCTTGTCATCCTTCGCAGAGCTGCTCACTTCCAAGTGTGGCCACCACCAGCTGGACCAGAGCCCGGTGTGTGTCAACTGCCTGGTCAAAACCACCATCCTGGCAGAGAATGAGGTGGAGGCCAACAAGTCATCTAGTAACTACAAGGTGAGTCTCTTCCTAGTCCTTAGTGCTGGGAACAGGCAGCTGCCCCGTCCCCTAATTCTCCAGCATGGACGTTCTTGGGATTTCCCTCCAAAGGTCTGGTGGCTGGCAGCACAAAGGACAACCTGTCTGAAGGTTATTATGGTTTCTGAAGGGTAAAACAGAGCTTGGCCTCCTCTTCCAGGGACTCTGGTCAGAGCTATGTGTCCATAGACATTCTCTGCAGGCTGTGTGGAGTTCCAGATGATTGATTCTTTTTTTTTTCTTTTCTTTTTTTTTTTGTGAGGCAATCGGGGTTAAGTGACTTACTCAAGGTCACACAGCTAGTACGGGTCAAGTGTTTGGTCTGAGGCTGGATTTGAACTCAGGTCCTCCTGGCTTCAGGGCCGGTGCTCTATCCACTGCGCCACCTAGCTGCCCCTGTCTTCTCCACTCTTGAAAGTCTGGCTTCCAACCCCAATCACTGTCTCTGGACTTCCCAATGACCTCTTAATTGCTAGATCATCCTTCCCAATCTCCATGCAGTCTTTGGCAATGCAGACCTCGGCTCCTGGATACTTCCTCTTTTCTGGGCTTCTGTGATGCTACCCTTTCTTGATTCTCCTACCTGGTCACTTCTTTGCAGGTTCATCATGAGTCTCCTGCTCTGTAATCATGGGTGTCCCCTCGAGACCTATGCTGGGCCCTCTTCTCTCTAAACTGTCTTCCTTGGTGACTCACCAACTTCCACAGGGTTTCAGTCGCGTCCGACTCTTCGTGACCCTATCTGAGGATTCCTTAGCAAAGATACCAGAGTAGTTTACCATTTCCTTCTCCAGCTCATTTTACGGATGAGGAAACTAAGGGAAACAGAGTTAAGTGACTTGCCCAGGGTCACACAGCTAGCAAGTGCCAGAAGATGGATTTGAACTTGGGGAGATCAGTCTTCTGATTCCAGGACTGGTGCCGTATGCACTGTGGTGCCACCTGGCTGCCTGTTCCTAACATATGATGTGCCAAATCCTTGACTCTATACTTTTGTCTGTGTCTGGAACATACTACCTCTTTACTTCTTAAAAATCCCTTGTTTTCTTCAAAATACAGTTCAAGTGCCACCACCTACATGAAGTCTTTCCTGATTTCCAGTCCGTCTCACCCCAACTCTAGCTGCTAGCACTCTCCCCTTGCCTTGTATTTGCATCTGTATGGTTCTATATACACATAAGCTTCTGGGGGGCAGGAATTGTTTCATATTTTGCGTTTGCATCCCCAGGACCTAGCACAGTGCCTGACACATAGTAGGTGCTTAATCTTTGTTGATCGATTTTTCCGGGACTGATGAATCTGAACAGGGACATTGGGGAGAGAACAGGACCTAAGGTTTATATGCATACATCCTGTAAAACTCCCACCATCACCTAGGCAAAACCTTCACTGTCAGCCTTCCATCAATATGCCCATTTCCCAAGGCATCATGTTGTCTTTTTTTGTTGTGACCCCTTTTCTAATTGGTGGTCCTCACTCAGTGTTCATTTTAACCTGATTTTACTTCTAGAAAAAAAGAAGTTCCCATATCAACTTGCTCACCATCTTTGGGAAGGGAGGGGCGAAGGAAGTGGGTGAAAATTTTGAGCTCAAAATTTTCAAATGAATGTTAAAATTTGTCTTTTCATGTAATTAGAAAAAACAAAATATTATTAAAAAATAAACCAAATATGTACCCCCAGGAAACTAAATTTGTTATTATGAGCAAGAGCAGATTCCTTTAAAAAAGAAAAAAAGAAAGAAAACGTTAAAGGGTGAATGAGATGGTCCTAAACCCAGTGTGGGGGTTTCATTTTTGTTTTGTTGTAACCTAGCCCTGGGGCTTATACATTGCCTACCTTTCCTAAGAAGGGATTAAGCAAACCTGGAGATGCATTGGTATGGGAAAGGGCTCTTTGTGCCAGCTCTTCTAGCCTTCTCCTCCCATTTTTCTCCCTGGAAATTTGGTTTCAAGAAGTGGAAGAGTCATGTGACTGCTCGGCCCTGGGAAGACAGATCGGAGATAGTGAGGGACCTCTACGATGACCTGCACGCCATCAGAAGCCCTCCTGGTAGGCTGCTGGGGTAGGGAACACAGCTTAGTGCTGAGGAGGAGCTGGAGGGTCAGCAGGGGCAAGGCAGAGACTTACCAGCAGTGGGACCATGAAGGAAAGAGAAAACATGGGCTCCAAAATGAGGGAAGGCTGGCACGTGTGGTGTGATGGGGCTTCCTTGGAAACACAGACATGGCCTCATCCCGTGGTTTGTCCTCAGGCTGCGCTGTGACCTGTGGGAATGTCTTCTATGTGCTGCTGTTTGGCTGGTGGCTTTCCCTGGTCTACCTCCTCGTGTCTGTGCTGATGTTTCTCACCATCCTGGCAACTCCTTACGGTTCGTCTTCCCAAAGGGATGGGCTACCCCTAGATTCTGACGTGGTCATCTCTGCCATAATTTAGTGCAGTGCAGAAAGTGCTAGATTTGGTCAGGGGACCTGGGATCCGATCTGAATTCTCATACCTACTATCTGTGTGACCCTGGGGTCAGTCATTTCCCTTCTGAACCTCCGTTTTCTCACCTGCAAAGTGGGGATGCTGATAACATTTGCCCCATCCTCTTACACAGGATTGTTGTGTAGTGTTTCATGAACTTGAAAGCCCATCCACATGCAGGAGTTGCTATTTAGTTCCAGAATAAAACAACTAACAATGGGAGACCCTGGCCTATGATAGAATTCTCAGGAGCCATCCATACTTACTACCACTGCCTCTCTGGTGATATTTTTTTTTCCTGGGCAGAATTGGGGAATCTGAGGGCTTTGTTATGCAGCTATCTTCTGCCCAACCTGGTCTCATTTTAGCCCACTTTTTCCCTGTAGCTCACAGAATCCCATATAACCTCAGAGGTCATCTGATCTAACCCATACCTGAACAAGAGTCCCTTCCACAATACCTGTGACAAGTGGCCATCCAGCCTTAGCTCAGATACTTCCCTCTATCCATCTTTTGAAAAGGAAGGTCTTTTCAGAGCTCACTGAGCCCTTCCCCTTCCCATTCTCTCTCTTGCCTACAGGGAAACTATGCTGGCATCTCGCTGGATATTTGCTCTGGCCATTTGATAAAGTGATTCAGAAGGTATAGAAGGAGAAGGGTGGGGGTAGGGAGGCTGAGGTGGCCATAGACAGACCCAGGAAATGTTGTGGGTTGGAGGAGAGTGAGAAGAGTGTGAGACAGAGAAAATCCCACCTTAGGAGTTGCCAAAGGTGTTTAGAAAATTAGTCTGGGGCAGCTAGGTGGTGCAGTGGATAGAGCTCTGGCCTAGGAGTCAGGAGGACCTGAGTTCAAATGTGACCTCAGATGCTTGACACTTACTAGCTGTGTGACCCTGGGCAAGTCACTTAATCCCAACTGTCTCACCAAAAAGAAAAAAAGAGAAAAAAATAAGAAAATTACTCTTTGTAGGTAAGACACACCTACCTTCTTCCCCCAGTGGGGCTATACAAGGCCTACCTTGGGGTTGCTAGGAAGGGCTTCTGATTCCTTCTCCATTATTTCACGTTGAGGGGCTGAATCTGCACGTATGTGAAGTCTGTGAGGCCTCTGATGCCTCCTGTTCCCTGTGGGCCCAAATACCTTCCCGTACACATATACTGCTTCTTTCTAAATAGCTGGTCAATGGCTGTATGAAACCACTATGTACTAGGTACCTTGGCCATACCCAGAAGTGCTCCAGGCCTCCTGATTTTTTAAATAAATACTGTTTTTTGTTTCAGATTCCTTCTCTTTCTTTTTTCTTCTTCCAGAAACATTTCTCCCATAGGTTGTGCAAGGATGCCAGTAACTGTGACTCTGAACTAGAGACCAGCCCACTTCTCAGCCATCTTGATGGGCCACTCAGGGCTCATAAAGTGTACTCAAACCACCCAAAATATAGTCATTGGGTAAGCCTGTTCCTCTTGTGCTTGCCCTTCCCTTCGCTCTTTAACCCTGCCACTTGAGATATAGAGATCAGGGACTTGGAACTTTTGTATCCTCTTTCTGTGCCTTCCATACCAACACATTTTTTGAGCTGTGTGGTTTTCTTCTTGAGTTGGTTTCCTTCACTGCCTCCAATTTTCTCCATCATGAAATGGGACCAGAATAAATGTTTTCAATGGAATGAAAGGCACCTAACTACTGTAGGTTGTTTGAAAAGGCAGTGACTTAGAATCTTTGCTTTGTCTCCATGAAGACCCAAGGCTCTATGAGGACAGGGTCAAGCAAAGCATCGGGATCCCCCATGTGAGTTGTTGGCGTGGGATGGAATGGCATGAGTGGGTCATTTCCTTCTTGGTCTTCTCTTGCTAGCTCCGAGTCAGCACGTACATCTGGCTTTTCCTGGGCTACCCTGTCTTGGTCATCATTCACAGACTAATCTGCTGCTTCTCCTGGCTCCTGGTGTTCATTATTCCAATTGCCAAGATGAATGCCAGAATGGCGGCCAGGATCCTACTGGCAGACCCAGAGCAGGTGCATGTGCAGGAGATAAAGGTGAGGTGTCCTTGGACAGAGGAGAGAGGGCCGCACCTTTCTGGTGGGGGGGTTATGACCTCGAGTAGCTCTCTGGGACTTGGGACTGGAAGACCAATGTCTTGGGCAGATTTGTGTATAGGAAAATGAGGAACACCAGCTCAGACCACATCATTTAGTCCTTGAGGCAGGATGGTAAGGAGGGAAAGGCAATCAATTAGGAAGTCAGAAAAATCTAGATTCAGATCCCGTCATAGATTTTACAGATGAGGAAATTGAGGTCCCAGAGAAGTTCAGTGTCTCTCCCAAGCTCACAAAGGCAATAAGCAGCAGAGCCAATATTTGAACCCAGACTTTGGAGTCCAACTCTGGCCCTCAATCCACCGACTCTACCACTTTACAACTGCATGACATTGGGCAAGTCACTTCATTTCTCTGATGCTCAGTTTCCTGATCTATAAAAATGGGTATGACAATAACTGTACCATTTGCCTTACAAAGGTGGTTAATAAAACCTTGGAAACTGAGAAGAGCAATTTGTAGAGTCTGAAGCTTCCTGTCATTGTGAGTTACTTGTGTTGTCTGTAGCCTTCTGCCTTCAGCCTTCAGCTTGATGCTGGGCTAATTTGAGCTCCACATATAGCTAGGATCTGAATTTGCATCTTGTTGAAGGCAGAGGAAAATTCGATTTTCAATTGTTATTAATTCTTTATTGGTCTTTCTCCACACCTCCCCAACTCCTCTGGTAGGGAGCCTAGGGTGATAGTAGCTAGAGTTGGAAGGGGCCTTGTAGGTCACACATAGTCTACCCCCAATCCCATTTACAGTTAGGTGGAAGCCAATGGCTGGAGAGGTTAAAGTGGCTTAGCCAGAGTCCTGCAGCTCATTAGTGGTAGATGTGAGACTAGATCCCAGGCTCTCTGACTGGAAGTGGAAGGGCAAACACACACCTGGAATCTCACTTTCCCCCAGAAGTCCACTCTTAGGATAAGAGGTGCAAACAAGAAGGTCCTATCAGAGGTCTCTGGGACTTAAGGCTCAAATAACTTAATGGATCTTACAGGCCATTTTGTTTTCATAGAATTGTTGGAAGTTGAAAGCAATGCTCAAATCCCAAAGGACCCAGCCAGCCCAAGTCTGGCTCCTGCTGCCCACTTCTATCATTCCCTCACAATGCTTGCCTTTTTGGTCAACAGGAAAATATGGCCCTATATCAACATTCCCTGCTTCTTTCTAGGACCCTTTTGCTCTATGCAAAAGGAAGTATGGGGTGGGAGTAGGGGAGGATTATCCCATTCAATTCCCTAATTCAATGAATTAGGGAAAGGTCCAAGACCAGATCCATACCCAACTCCCTATGCTCCAAAGGGTTGTAGGAGGGACAGATTGGGTGAGATGTTGGGAAAAATAGGCCCAATGTAAATAGCCCATCAGAAGAACATCTGCCCTTCTGAATGTCTTCTGCTACCCCGCTTTAGACAGAGGCACCCTTGGATGCCAACACACTTTTATGCTGCTGTCGTGCAGCTAACTGCTATTACTACAAGTATACCGTGGATGGTGTTAATGTCTTTGCCTTAAGTATCCTTTGCCATGTCAAAGAGAAGACTCATAAATGCCATTCCTCCACGGCAGCCCTGTGGCTGGAAATAGTGGGAAAGGATAAACTGAATCTGGGCAGAGGAAGAAGACAGTAGTGAACGAGGAAGACTTGTCCACCAATGGAAAGGAGCAAGACTTTGGCAATGGAGCTCTCCTGTACGTGGTCCTGCCCTTCCAGGAGCAGGAAAAGCTTCTATGAGACTTAGTCCATGGTTGGGTGGTGTGGGGCACCAGTTATAATAGTCTGAGATGAGGGGAGAAGATTGAGGGGAGTGGGGAGGAGACTACCTAATGTTCACTACAAATGAAGGTCTGTCCCATTCCATAATTAATAACAGTTTTTCAATTTCTCAGGAGTGCTCTGCCCTACAAAACCATGAAGACAGGGTTGATAGGGACTATCACAGACTGCTTCAGTCCTGCTCCCTTTCTGAACATCCATCAGGCATTCTATAAACCAGTCACCATGCCTTACATCTCTCAATGAACACAATTGGTGGTACAGATGCACGTTTTCCAGGTAGCACTGGAAGATCAGAAGTGCTTACTGTAGTTACTGGTCACTTTTTTTTTTAAGCTTTCCCAAGCTCAGACAAACTGTTAGGAGCAGTGTTTCAAGAACAACCTATGAGAAAAGGCAGGTAGCCATGATTCTGATAGCCCGTGGAACAATTCTGTCCCATGGATCAAAGTTCTTGCCAGAAATTAAATCGTCATTCGTTCAAGATAAGTCACAGAATGCATGTACGTTTTAGAATCTCTGCCCCAGATGCTTCAGAAATAAGACAAGCTGATATTGTTAGCCCTTGGTCAGCCTGATTACCTCTGAAACACTGATTATTTTCATGCTGAGGAAGAGACTCTAATCCCCTGACTCTGAATAACCTTTGTCCTGCAAGTTTATCAATGACATCTGGCAAAAAGGCAATAAAATGTGGCTTGCACAGATTCAGGTTGTTGGCAAAGAGATAATCCTGAAATTGAAGGGGGCTTGCACCTCAAATGGCTGTGTCAAGTTTAGATTAAATGTTAGACCAACCTTACGGTAATGCTGGACAGTGACCTGTTACATTTCATTAGCGATAGCCGAGAAATAGCCTTGTGAAGTCCATTAGGGTGGGCAGTGGGTGGAGTGTGTTGAGGGAGAAAAGGCTAGCTCTTTTTTTGTTAACAAAGTTTTACAAAAGGGAGGAACAGAGCTGGGGGAGGCAGCCCAACTCCCTGTAGATTACCCATTTGATTTGTTCTGCTAGGGCCTGGCCTCTTCCAAATTTGTTTAGAGAAGTAAGATAAACTCTCCAAATGAGCATGGAGTCCTGTTCCTTAACCCACAGTCTCCAGACCTCCTGCCCCTGGTACTCGTGACCATTTTCTTGGGCTACGTGGATAGCCAGAACCAATACACAGGCTCTCTGGCAAAGTTCACCCTCTCCCTACTCTCCGTCATACCCCTCTCTTACTTCATTGGCATGGCCATCGCTAGGTAAGACTGAGAGTGCTCCAAAGCCGCTTGTGCCTCCCCATTTTCTACACCTAGATCCCCCAAGAGGCAACAAAATATGGTAGAAAGAGAACTGGGCTGAAAAGCTACAGACTTTGGAATCAAGTCCTAGTTTTGGCCCTTATAAGTTATGTGGGCTAGCTAGTTAGCTGGTGCAGCCGATTAAGTGCCGGGCCTGGAGTTGGGAACTCATCTGAGTTCCAATCTGACTTCAGACTCTAGCTGTGTGACCCTGAACAAGTCACTAACCCCCATTTGCCTCAGTTTCCTCATCTGTAAAATGAGCTGAAGGAAATGGCAAACCCCTCCAGTATCTCTGCCAAGAAAACTCTAGATGGGGTCACCAGGAGTCAGAAATGACTACAATGACTGACCAACAGCAACAAGCTGGGTGACCATGGCTGAGTCACTTGACTCTGTGAGCCTTGGTTTCCTCATCTGTAAAACTGTCAAGAAAATGCTTTCTAAATCCTTCAAGTGCCATATGACTGTAAACAGACTTGGAGGTAGGGGACCTGGATTTGAATTCCACCTCCGGCATTATCTGTGTGGTCCTAGGTAAGTCAGTTTTCTCGTCTGTAAAATGAGGTTAACAATTTTTGACATGTAACTAACATGCTATAAATAATGAAGTTAATGCCTCCCTTAGAGTCAGTCGAAGGAAAGGGCTGTGCATGGGGACAATCCCTGAGCTCCGGCCTTGGAGTCAGGAGGAACTGAGTTCAAATCTGACCTCACACACATAACCCTCACTAGCTGTGCGAACCTGGGCAAGTCACTTAACCCCACTGCCTAACCAAAAAAAAAAAAGGAAAGGGCTGTGCAAACCTTAACTATAAGTAGTTGTTATTGATAGACCACTTCTAAGGCTTTCTGGTTTCAAATGGAACTTGTTAAGTGCTACGTATTCCATGGCCGGAGGTCAGAGGATCTAAGTTCTAGAGCTGGATGGGAACCTCAGAGGCTATCTAGTCCAAATTCCTTTTTACAGATGAGGAAATTGAACCTATAGAGATGAAGTGATTTGTCCAAGGTCACACAGGCAGTGTGGGACTTGAACCCAGGTTCTATGACTCCAGAGTGGGTGCTCTTTCTACTCTATTACAATACTTGTTAGAGGTATTGTAACAATTTATGCACTGGGTGAAGGTTGGATCAGTTGATATCTGTGGTCTCTCTCAATCTGGAGACTCTCTGATTCTTTGACATCTCTTGCAGTGACATGGCACAGCTGTTTGCTTGAGGGGAAGGATGGGGTGGTGTTGACTGCACTGAATTGTGTGGCCTCCGGCCTGCTTCTGTGTTGTGGGCCTCCTTAGAGTACTTCGTCCCCAGTGAGGCCCCAAGGGATGGTGGCCTCCAAGTCCTGCTCTTGTCTTGGTTCCCAGCATTTCCGCACAAAGCACTTTCGCTGCGGGCGCCGTGGTGAACGCCACATTTGGTTCCATTGTTGAGCTAACGTTTTACATCACTGCACTGATCAAGGGGGCCCAGGAGGGGAACAAATGCTATGAGGAGGTGGTGAAGTCTGCTCTGATAGGCACCGTGCTGGGCTGCATCCTCCTTGTACCGGTGAGTCTGGCTAAGATAGTTCCTTGTTTCTCTTCAGAACCAGGTTGGAGGGCTCCAGGAGCCTGGGAAGGGCATAGGCCAGGTTTGGAATTCTCACTTGGCTCATGAAAAAGTTCCCATCCCTATCCCTGAGCCCAGGAAAGATGAAAGATCTGAGAGATTCATTTTGGCTTCTCTGCCCTCCCTCCCAAACAAGCTCATAGGCTTATAGCTCTAGAGATGGAAAAGCCCTAAGGGGCCACAGGCCCAGGGCGGCTAAGTGGCTGCCCTAGGATCACACAGGTGGTAAGTAAGAAAGACAGGATTGAAAGCCTAATCCTCTAATCCCAGAGTCAGCCCTCTTTTCCCTATACCATGCAGCCTCTCCTTAAAACCAGTCTGCAAACATTCATTCAAAAAATGTTTATTGAGCACCTACTATGTACAAAGCACTGCAGGGTATGCTAAGAAAATGAAGATGCCATTGCTCTTCTCACAGAGATTACAACTGCCTACAACATGGAGAGCATTATAAACTTCAAAACTTCCTAGTTCTTCCTGTGGACCCTGGAGTGCCATCTCCTGGTCCCCTACAGAGCTCTACTTTTGATAGGAGGGCAACAGGTACCCCTGTCTACTCTCCTTGTACTGTGTCCTATTCAGAGGATGTGCTCCTGAAAACTAGTATTGTTTTTGTCATTCAGATCTGCCTGTAAAAGCCAGGGAAGATTTTTATTTTAAAACTATGCCTCATTCCAACTCTGTGATCTAAGTGGGATGGCCTCCTACTTGTTCTGCCTTCCCACTCTCTACCTTGAGCCCCTAAGGTCTAACTGGTCTCTTAATAATAACTGGTAATAATTGTAACACAAGGATGCTTCCTTTCTGATAGCTGATCAGTTCTATTTTCAACTTTTCTGGCAATGGAAGCAGGTAAGAGAGATGATCTGCATGGGTCTCTTGCCTCAGGAGAGAAATGCATGGAAATGAAAAAACTTGAGAGCCACTGCCCTGGAGAACTTGCCCTTGAAAGCAAGGGTTCTGAACTTGGGTCTGTGAGCTTGCTTTTCTTGACTAATATTTTACTAATTGTCCTGTTTCTATGTATTGTTTTATATATTTAAAAAAACACGATTCTGAGAAGGGGTCCATAGGCATCCCCAGACTGCCAAAGTGGGTTCTATGACATAAAAAAGACAAATAATTCTAATTTAGAGCAGAAATTGTCTTACTTTGCTATTTATATTCCCAGCACTTTGCAAAATAAATGCTTTATTCATTGATTTAAAGGAAGGTGGCCATGAGGCCTCTTGTAAGACAAGGAATCCTGTTTTGGTAATCATTCCTATTAAAAAGCTCACCATCAATGTTCCCAGATATAGTGGAAGAGGTCAAGCTATGACTTGATGATGCAATAGTTTTCTCTAATTTGGATAAATTCAGATTTTTGCCTGACACGGTTTTCTTTTCAAATTGGGCTTGCCTCTAGTGAAATGGCAGGTGCTGAAAGTTGCATTTAGTCAGCTTTCAGCTGACTAAATCACAGCTGCATGACCAGCTCGTTCCTTTGTAATCCTATCTCCTACATACATTCTGTGTCAAAGATCTCATCCATTCCCATGGAGTCAATCCTCCAAACCACAGTAAACATTTGTTAAGTGTGTGCAAAGTATGGGGATAGGAGTCATAGAAATTTAGTAAGACATGGTCCCTGCCCTCTGGACTTTGGAAGTGATAAAGTACCAACAGTCCTTTGTCTTTCTCTAATGTACTTTACGTAATTTTGTACATCACAGTTATGTGACGTCTAAGGTGAGGAGCTTGGGAGGAAGAAGGTCGTCATCAGTCCATTTTCTGGGAGAGATGACATTTGAGCTGTATTTTAAAGCAGAGGCATCAGACTCACAGTGGATACAAAACTCCCTTGTATAGACCCAAACCAGATTAAAAATGCAACTAGGAATATTTAACAAAATAAATAAAAATGTAATATAACATAGCTAATGGTAATTTGTGGGTTTTTAAGTCAACATGTGGCCTGCAATGATCTATTTCTATTTGAGTTTAACTGCTTTTAAGTATGGTAGCAATTACACAAATAAAGGGGAGGGCAGAAAGATTCCAAGCATTGGGAAAGAAAAGAGTCCTGAAAGCAAAATTTAAGCACGGTGGGAGGAAGGACATTCCGCAGGGAGGACGAATAGCCTAACTTGGCTAAAGCATTGAGTGCATGGAGAGGAGCGGCATGAGAAATCTGCTGCCAAATCATGGAGGATGCTAGGAAGCCACTGCAGAATTTTGGGTAGAGGAGTAATCGGAACAAATCAACAAATGTAATAAGCAAAAGGAATAAATCTAATAGATTATTTTGGCAGTTGCATGACTTGATGTGACTGCAGCAATCCAGGTGAGTGGGAATGAGGTATTACACTAAGGGAGCAGAGGCAAGGGGAAGAGATGGATGTGATGTATTGGGGAAGTACAATCAACCAACAAGTCTCGGTACGGGACTGGATGGGTGAGGGAGAAAGAGAGAGAGAAGTCGACTGTAATGTCAAAGCGAGCAAACACTGGGGAATGGTGATGCCACCAAAAAAGTGAAGTCAAAAAGAAGAGAGGGTTTTAGGAGGTAAGAAAATTAGCTCAGGGTAAATAAACATATTAAATTTGAAGTGCCAATAAGATAGCAAGGTGAAATTTTTCTCTAGGCAGTTATAGATGTAGGTCTGGAGTTCAGAAAAGAGATGTAATTGAATTCACTTCATAAGTGTTGGCGATGTGCCAGGTATTGGGGATACAGAGGAAGCAGTGAGAAATAGGCTGTCATCCTAATGAACTATTTTCCAAGTCTTAGAAAAAACTGCAGATAAAACATTATTTCTCACAGGCCAAAGTGAAACTTTGTGAACTTATGGGTTCCCTCTTTCGGGAGGGCCTCAGACCAAGGCTGGATGGCCACTTGTTGGGATGACATAATATGTAGGAGGAGCCTTTGGTTCAGCTTTGGCTAAAACTAGATGACCTCTGGGGAGTCTTACAATCACCTAGGCTCAAACCACCAGTCTTGGCTCTTCCTTAATATTATTCACATTCACATTCAATGAGTGTGGGAGTCCTGTCAATTCTTCCATTCTATTTCTCTTATCCATCCCTTCCTCTATGGCAGGTGTCCAATTTGTCAAAAGTCTCAGCAAAACTCCCCAGCAGCTTAAACCGGATTAAAATGTTAAACGAAAGAAATTTTAAAATACAGCACAGATAATGTTCATTTGTGGTTTTCCAGGTCAGTTTGTGGCCCTCAGGGATCTGTTTTTATTTGAGTTGGACACTGGTTCAGGCTCTTACTGACAGGATCATAGGTTTAGGATGGGAAGGAACCTTAGAGGCCCTGTGGTCAAATACCACTGTTTCACAGATGAGGAAATTGAAGTCCAGGGAGGTAGATGACTTAACCAAAGCCTCACAGGAAGTGAGTGGCAGAGCTGGGACTAGAATCCAGGGCCTTGAACTCAAAATCCAGTGTACTTTCCACTGTACCAACGCCTCTGTACTGTTAAATACCAGCCTCTTACTCTTCTTCCTGTATCCCGGTCCCCTGAGCATATCACTAGATTAACTTTCCTAAAACACATCCCTCTCATGCTCCACATCCTGCCCCAGTTCCCCATTGTCTAAAGTCCAAATTCCCTAATATGATATTCAAGGTCCTCTACCACCTGGGCTCTTCTCTTGCTGCTTCCTTTCATGCCTGCCTGTGATTCTGGTCTGACCCTAGAGTGGTTGAGAGAAATCAGATTGTATCTGTGGCATGTGTGTTGATGCCTCCGTCATCTGTGTTTGTGGGAAAGGAGAAGCTAGACTCATGCATGTGTGCCCATACCCAGTCCCAAATTCTCATCTTCCTTTCTCTTCGCCAAATGATCTCTCTCTTCCTTTTGAAAAACAGGCCATGTGGGTGGCAGCCACATAGAACTCGTAAATCAGATTCTTTGTGTCAATAGCTTGACCCTTTGGCATGTCCCGGTTGGGCCTGGAGCTGGGCAAGCTGTCTAGGAAGAGTCATGGCTTTCCCTAAAGACCTGATTGGTGTCCCTGTTTCAGTTTCTTCACTTTACAATCCATCATCTGCAGTTTCCAAAAGAATCTTCCTAAAGCATGGTGTCACTCTACTCAAGCTTCAGCAACTCCCTGTCATTTCTAGGATCACATACCAACTCCTTAGCCTGCTATATCTTCATACCTAAGGTGTTCTAGTCAAACCGGCCTACTTTCTGCTCCCCAAACTCGGGATTCCATTTCCCACCTCCCTACTTTTACATAAGCTATCCCCCATCGGTCAGCCAAGCATTTATTAAGTACTTGCTGCATACCAAGCACTAGGCTTTCTGAATCCAGAAGCCTCCTTTGAGCTCAGCTCAGTTGTCCCCTCCTACAAACAGCCTTTTCTGTAATGTTTTCTCTCCCTCCTCAAGTTACCCTCTATTTACTTCTCTCTACTTGCTGTGTCTCACTGAAGAATGTGAATTCCTGTAAGGTAGGGATGGCCTAGTCCCTGGCACGGAGTAGGCACCTAAGAAATGTTTGAATTGAATCACGCTGAGCTGGCCCTCCATTTTTACAGGGTCTCCATTCATGCTTGAATGAATGGATTTTCCACTTGTAACTGCTTTAGAGGACGTACTCCTACACCACTGACCTTTATAGTGCTAAAATAGGAATCCCTGACATTTGATTTGAGCAAATGTTCAACGACATGCACCTACTATATATGGGGCACCATGCCGAGTGCAGTCCATCAGCAGGCATGGAAGAAGGGCACTATTGGCTTTGGCAAATACTTGGCCAGAAGAGATGCTTAACTAGTGCTTGTCAGTTTTATTGTGGTGGGTGAGGGGGAAGGGAAGACAAAGCCACAGTCACAGAACAAAGCCTGCTGTAGCTTTCCTCCTTTCGTACAAGGCAGTCCATAGCAAAAGTGGAGGAGCAGGGGGGTAGAGTTTGAACGAAAACTTTTATAGTAGAAAGAGCCTTAGATTTTTAAATCAGTGGATCAGAGTTCAAATGCTATTCCTGTTACTTACTACTCATGTGTGCCCTTGGGTGTCAGCCTTTCATCTGGAAAATGAGAAAACTGAGCTAGACAAATGATCCCTAAGGCTCCTTCCAGCCTAAAATCTGTGATCTGATGATCCTGATATTTCCAGGGTCTCTGCATGGTGATAGGAGGACTCCACCACCCTGAACAGAGATTTAACAATCGATCAGTGGGGGTCAGCTCTGCGCTGCTCTTCCTGTCTGTGGGAGGTAAGCCAGGGATATATAGGGTGGGGGTCAAAATAGCCTACACAGAACAAGAATGGCAGAGAATGTCTGGGATGCACTTACGTGGTTTAGATTCTGGAAACAATGTACCAGCACCCCAGATTGAGGGGTGGGGGTGGGAAACAAAACTAAATTCAATCAGGTTTAGAGAGTGCTTAGGGACAGCTAAGTGGTATGGTAGGTAGAGCTCAGGGCCTGAAGTCAAGAAGACTCATCTTCCTGAGTTCAAATCCGGCCTCAGATACTTCCTAGCTACGTGACCCTGAGCAAGTCACTTATCCCTGTTTGCCTCCATTTCCTCATCTGGAAAATGAACTGAAAAAGGAAACCATTCTAGTATCTTTGCCAAGAAAACCCCAAATGGGGTTACTAAGAGACAGACAGAACTGGAAAAACAACTGAAGCACAACAACAGACAGTGCTTAAAGGCATATACAGGAAAGTCAAATAAACCTTTTTCTAAGGCCTTGGAAGTAAAACTCCTATGTTCTCTCTGATCTGATTTCCACTTCCTTCTCCTCCTTCCTAATGTAATGGTGACTAAGGGAGAACCTTGGACCTAGAGGGAAGTTTACAAGTCATCCAGTCCAGCTCCCCCAATCACTCCCCTTTTGCAGATGAGCAAATTGGAAAGGCAAAGGTGATTTGCCCAAGGTCACATGGGTTTTGATTATGAGTTTGGGGCTCTTTTCTACACTGTTGCCCCTTTCTTCTCTCAGGAAGGGTAAGTTTCCTGTTAGTGTGGGAAGCTCGAAGGCTGCTCAGAAAGAGCCTGGACCTAAAAAACCTAAATGGCCCCAGATGGGCTCAAATCTCAGGTTTTACTTAACTGCAGCCCCTGATTCCTACTTCTTGTCTTTACTTAGTCCTTACTTTTACCCTAAGAAATGGTAATTTCTTAGATTCTTGAGATTTTAGGTCCTTGATCTGCTAAGCCCCTTTTACAGAGAATATAGTACCTTGCCCTTTGGGAGGTAGCTGGCTGGCCAAATTGGAAGGCTACCATGACTCTGGGTCCAGTGATCGAATTTGTTTGACCCTAGAGAAGTCTGGAGAACTTGTTCTGAGCCTCCAGGTCTTGGGCATTCAGGAAGTATAGTGACCAGAAGAGTGAGCTCTCAGAATCCTATTGTATCCATGAGACCCGACACTAATTTCCTGACTGTGGCAGGTGTGTTTGCCCCAACGCTCTTCTCCAAGGTCTATGGGAGACTGATCTGCGTAGAGTGCCAGAACATTACCCAGGACCTCTCCGGGAGCTATCTCTGCCACAGCTGCCGATTTGGCTTGGTACGTAGAATGCCCTGACCTGAGTTTCCCTGGGGCCAGCCAGAGAGTAGGATGGAGCCCAGTTGAGGAAACCTCATAAAGTATTAAATATGTACTTATATATAGTACTGAAACTATTATGGGGGAGGAGGGCAGGGGAATGGAGAAAAAGGTAAATGCTGAACTAGGAAATAGAATTCCTAGAGTCTTTTTGTACTACTACTCAATTCCCTGCGTGACCACGGGGAACACTGTCACAAATGAGTGGTTATGGGTACTGCTAGCTTATCTAACAGGGCTTGAGGACCCTGGAGAAGATGGCATATTATTATACAAGGCAACTGAGTAGTCAGCTAAGATGTCCCTCAGCTCTAGGTCTGTGAGGACCCATAGATAGTGCAGGAATTCAGAGAGAGGGCTAGAATAATCAGGGGAGACTGTGGTACATTATAAGCTGCATTCTAGGCAAGATCAATGAGAGTAGGGGAGCGGTGGACACGGAGATGAGTTTGGGGAATGTACTGAGGGCAGAGAGCACATCCTGACTGCAGTGAAGGATGCATTAGGACAAGCAGAATTGAGGTAGGTCTGAGCCTGGTCATAAAGGGCCTTAAAAAAATTCTGGTATTCTGGTCAGAACAGGTAGAGTCTTGTTCTGGGCTTCATGTTGTAAGCCTGACATTGACAAACTGGAGCACGTCCAGAACAGAGCAAAGCGTGTCATGAGGACTGGCAAAGAAATAAGGATGTTTAGCCTGGAGAAGAGAAAACTGAGCATATTCATCTGAACAGAACCTTATCACCTTATAAGTTCTCTCCTCCCTAGCCTTTCTCTGGGCACTTCTACCCCCCAACCACTCCAGGCTCTACAAACTCTAGGGTCTCTACAAGACCCTGTAATGAAGCAAGCCACAGGAGAAGGATTTCCTATTCTTCTCATTTTGTATAGAAAAAATTCTCCCACAGCAGTAGCTTCCCTTATTGATCCCCCTAGCTCTTTAAGAGTTTTGGTCAGCTCAAAACCTTGTACTGAAACTAATATCCTAAGGATTATATCACTGCCTCCCTAAAGTTTACAATCCAATGAAGTCGGATAGATTTTAGACTTCAATCCTTTATATATCCCTTTTTCTGTTCCCCCCAAGGGCAGGTTTTCCAGCTGCCAATCCTCTTTTGAGGGGGGAGTCTCTTTATGTAGACTGGGCTAAGCTGGGGGCAGGGAGAGGAAGATAAGTGGAATGAAATGAACCAGAGCCCAGACTCGATCCTTGGGGAAGCACAAGAATCTTTTTTGGGGAAATATAAGACATAACTTGGACATGATGGAATAGCTCTTTAAGGGCAGTAATCCCTGCTCACCTGATTAATGGCTCAGGTTTGCCTTTCAGATGGAGAACAATGGAACTCTGTACTATAGCCACGTCCGGTAAGTATGACCTTGACCCTATGACCTCAGGGGAATCACTACTGGTTTTCTAGAATTAGGAATCTTTCATAACCAGGATCTGACTGCTTTGCCCATAATCCCACCTGTTTGGCCCAAATACTTGGGACATTCTAGAAAGAACTGACTAACCTTGTGACCCTGGACAATTCCCTTCCCTTCTCTAAGCTTCAAATTCTTCTCTAAAATGGCAGTGTGTGCCACCTGCTTTGTAAGGTGGTTGTGAGGTGTGTGGAAGAGGCCCTGAATTTGGAGCCAGAGGACCTGATGAATCCTAGTCTGTGACATGCTACTTGTATGATTTTTCTCTTATCTACCTCTCTGGGTCTCCCTCAGTTTCATCTATAAAATGAGGGGAACTGAAGTAGACATATTTTAACATTCCATGGACTTATGACTTGGAGATTCACTCTTAAGAGGGTTTCACCCTTTATGGTCCCCCACAGATAATAAGAATGTGAATTATTTATTATTGCCCAGTGGGAAATGGGCAGATGAGATGGAAAGAGGTTCTGAGAGTTGGAAAAGTGACTCTATATATAAAGGATGTACTGATGTTAATTGCATTTGTGGTGGCATCATACTAGTTGTGATATGGCAGCACTTGAGGTTTCCTTCTCCTAAATCAGCATAACTACCTACTTCTGCTGTTGCTTCTCTTCTTACCCTTTTCTTTGCCTTTCCCCTCCCCAACTAGCTATGTTCTTGTAGACATGGGCTTTGTCTCCTGGTCATTTTCACAAGACCTTCTCCCTTGTGGGACAGAGATATTGGTATCCTTGTTGGGGTTGTTGGCCTCTGCCTTCTCCCTCTTCATCACGGCATTACATTTCAGGCCCTTGGTATACACGGTGTCTCTCCTCCTCCCTGCTGCCTACCTTGTAGGCCTCTTCTTCACCCTGAAGACTCACTCTCACATCTATGACACCCACATCAGTGACTACCCCTGTGAGTTGCTAGATGGTTAAAACCATCCTTCTCTTTGGTTTCCCTGTCCCTTTCTTCCTCTACATGGACCAGAGATTAACAAAGAAATTAACCAAGTTTCTCAGTTATGAAACTGGTAGGAAGGGGGACAATATATTTCACTGGGCAGAGCCTGATGGGGCTCCTGCACCTGGACTGTTATGCCCCTTATAATTAAATTGTTCAAGTTGAGAGTGGTATTCTCCTTGCCCATCCCCTTCCCAAATCCCTGAAGCAGCAGAAAGATGAATTCTAGAGGGGAACTGGGGTCCACAGAGTTGAAGACAGGAATGAGTTTAGAGAATCCACAAGGGGCAATAACTTAGTCTTAAGGGTTTCACTTCAGTCTTCTCCCTCCTTTCCTCTACTCTTTCCTACCAGTGCCTGGGCACCATCATGGTGCTATGGTTCACTGGCCTCGATGGCGTGCGCTGCTCTTGCTGCTACTGTCCACCCTCTGCATGTCTCTCTGTGCTGACCTGACCACAGAGCACATCAGCCCCATTTTGGAGAGTTCCACTGTGTCCCAGGTGAGTTGATGTCTCCTGCCAGCTCCACTGTGCAGGCAGTGGCTCCATTCAGATAGAGAGCTAGTGTTGGGGGAGGGTCTGTATAAGGAAAAAAATACTGGGTTCTAATCCTGACTCAGCTCAAAACTCACTGGGAGTTTTGGGTCTTCAAATCACTCTCCAACCCTTTTCTCTCAGAGGGGAGATGCCTCATCTGCTCATTTCATGAACTTGTTGGACCTGAGATGATGCTGAAAAGGAATAAGCCCTCTACCTATTGACAATATCTATTGTAAAATTTCATACATAAAGGTGACTGTTTCTACCACGTTCCTATCCTTGCCAAGCTCAACCAAAGCTCAGAGCCAGGGTAAAGGATCTGATTTTGCTTTTACCCCAGACACTACTTTCTAGACTTGGGGCTCAGTATCTGTATTTTCTCACCCTGTCCCCCTGCCCAGTAGGGCTGCCTCAACTACCTAAAGTAGCCCTTTTGACTGGTAGAGTTTTCCCCACTGAGACCAAAGGCACTACTGTCATTGCCCTCTGAATTGGTATATCTGGGCCTTGCTGCCTTGGCCTAGGACTGCAGGGTACAGTCTGCCCTGACCAAGTTAGCCAAATTTCTTGGTCCAGTCCAGATGCTAGTGCTGGGTTGCTATTTAGAGAGGGATTTTTCTGTAGATACAAAAAAGATAGAAAGTTGTGGCTCAAGTGATTTTCTCTTTTCCTTTTCCTTCTCCCAGTATTTTATAGGAGTAACTGTACTTGCCATGATGCCAGAATTGCCTGAGATTGTCAATGGGATTCAGTTTGCCTTGCAGAACCACCTGAGTCTTAGGTGAGGATGCTATCCCTGCAAGGGTGGAGGGGGCAGGGCAGAGGACGGTCAGAAGGTGGTGCTGGACTCCTGGCAATAGTCTATTTCCCACAGGCCAAACACACACTGTTAGAGGATTCCTGTAGAATATACTTCCCTAGTCCTTCCTCAGATGGAGATCTTGTGACTGAAACCACCATCAACACTGCAGCTAAAGAATTCTCAGCTTGAAGTTAGCGGAAGAAAGGCTTGTTAATGGAACCAAAGTGTTGTAGGAAATATCTTCAAACAGCTTTAAGGTCCAGGCATATTATAAAGTTGGCTAGAGAGTAGGGAAGCCAGATTAGCCAAGGGAAGAGATAGATTGAAATGAGACAGGTGGTTCTCTCTGATTAGGCAGTATGACCTAATAAAATGAGAGTAACGATCTGGATTTTAATCCATTACCTAGCTGAGTGACCTAGAACAAGTTACTTAACCTGGCTAAGCAAGCCTCAGTTTACTTATCTATAAAACAGGATTGAAATGGAGGTCTTTTCTAGGACTATGATTCCGAGTACTCTATAGATAAGATCACTGAATGGTCACAGCTATTTCAGAAGGAAATGAGCTCTGGTTCAAGCATATCTGAGCCGTACTCATCAGGTAGATACTACCTCCATGGAGAGGGGAAAGGAAGCCCTCAAGCACAAGGTAAGCCACCAGTCATGTTGCCCAAAAAGCCCTGTTGTTTTCAAGTGGTGAAGCCCTTCTGCTCTCAAGCTGTTAATTTTGCAGATTAAAAAGTAAAAAGCTTCTGTGCCCCTGGCAGAAGACAGCTTTGAAGCCGTAAGGGCTAGGAAAAGGCTAGTATAATAAGGATAATACTGTGAATAGAGGGTCAGAAAATCTGTGTTTGAATCTTAGGGTGATTTTCTGGGGAGTCTTTTTACACCTTTGGGCCTGTTGTAAAAGGACTAAGTGATTTTTAAGGCCTCTTTTCAGTCAGGTGTATGGGGCCCTAACTGCATCTACATCTGTGGCCCAGTTCATCTGGACAGGCACACCTTTCTTCCAGCTTCCTTTTTGACCACCTCACAGTCGAGAAACTCTGCCCACTCTACAAGCAACTCGATCCCTTTTCTTCCCCTTTTATTGACACACCAAAGAACATCTGCCACTTATAACTTGACCTCTCCTTTTTTCTATCTCCCATTCCAATTCTTTCTTTTAGCATTGAGATCAGCAGCTGCATTGCAGTACAAGTCTGTATGCTGCAGATACCTATCCTGGTGCTGTTTTCTATCTTCTATGTAAGTCAACCTGGGAGTGCAAAGGATTTTCAGGGGGTCACTGACTTTGAGCACTTTCTGGAGGTGTATTCTACTCTCAGGAGTCCAATGGGCCTCCCTTGGGAGATAGGGACACTTGAGTGTCTTTCATGGATATTCATTCAGCCCTCTGGGAACCTTTGCTTGTGAGTAGATTAGACCCAGTAGATCTTGGTTATCTTTTATAGTCACCTTGGGCATTTTCAGATTTACATGTTCACAAAGGAAGGCTATCAGAAAGCACAGGGAGCCCCTCTGCCTTTGTCCATGAATGCTGATGGATTACTGAGACTTCTCTTGGATTGGGAGGGACCCACATAACTCAATGTGCCTGGCCTATTTCCCCACCTACAAAATGAAGATGACAGCATGTTACCATGAGAATAAAATGTGATGGCTGAGATGATATAAAGAGACATGACAGAAAGAGAACCCTGGATTTGAGGGTCAAAAGATCTAGATTTCAATTCTGGCCCTGCTCCTAAGTAAATGCCTTTTATGACCTTCAGCAAGCCAGAAAGTTCATTTTTCTGGGCCTCAGTTTTACCTGTAAAATAAGGAAGGTTGAAGTAGATCTCCAAAATAATTTTAACATGAAAGCACTCCAGGGATTAGGAAGTGTTTTAAAAGGGCTGTTAAAAAAGGGATCCCCTGAGGTCCTAAGCCCTCCCATCCTCATTAGAAAGTTAAATTACCAGTAAGTTACTCTCTTCAGCCAACAGGATTTATGCTGTTCTTCAGTGACCTTCATGTCTATGCCAGCATGTTCAGTGTCATTCTCATGAATTATATCTTCATGGATGGCAAGTGTGACTACTTTCAAGGTATGTCTGAAGGTGAAGGGAGCAAAGGACATACAAGGTAACCCTTGTATGGTCCTAGCTATTAGAACCTTTTTAAGTATGAGGTGCATTTTTCAAAATCCTCTATTTAGTTCTAGGTAGTAGCTCAGAAACTCCAGGTGGAACAGAGGTACATATGTCCTAGGTAATCCTGAGTATGGTAGCCTCTTGTATTGATTGTTCACTTGCTTGTGGTGAAGGGGAGCAGGCTCTGTTGAAGGGATATGTTAAGGAGTTCTACCTTAAACCACATAGCAAAGAAGGCTCTTAACTAGCCTCCAATTTCCTTTTTTTTTGGGGGGGGGGAAGGGGTTAGGCAATTAGGGTTAAGTGACTTGCCCAGGGTCACACAGCTAGTGTCAAGTGTTTGGTCTGAGGTCAGATTTGAACTCAGGTCCTCCTGACTTCAGGGCCAGTGCTCTATCCACTGCGCCACTTGGCTGCCCCTCCAATTTCCAAGGAAACAGAAAAGTCACTGTTTTCTGAAATGGCTATTACCAAAACTTATTTAAAGTTTTGAGTCTGCTCCCAGGTAGTTGAACTATGAGCCCAAATGTGTCCCTCTCCCTCCTCAGGTACTGTGCTGGTAATGGTCTACTTCCTCCTCCTTGCTGTCTATTTCTTTGCTCCTTCTCCTGCTGGCTGCTGACATCTGCTTCCTACTGGACCTAGCATTTGGCTGCATCAGAGATGATTGGGTATTTTCCTTTGAGGCTGATGGACCTACATAGTAGGTCTTAAGGATTCACCTCATCTGGTTTGAAATATGCAGAACTACACTGGGAAGCCAGTAGAAGTCAATCCAAATCTCTCTCCAACCTTACCCCTCTTCTCTCTCATTTTTTTACATTGTGGGAACTATTAAAGAAACAAAAGCGTTTGTACTTAAAACTTCATTCCCCTTGATTTTGATGGGGAGAGAAAGGACTTGGCTAATGAGATCACATTTTTTTCTTGGTCATTTTTGACTCTTACCACATCCAAAGATGAGTCTCCAAAGGGCAAGTGGTAAAATGGTCCCATGTTTTTCAGTCTCAATCTGTTTGTACTATTCTCCTTCCCTACTAAAGTATAGTTACTTTACACAAACTGCAGGTGCCAAGACTTTTGCTGTGTCCTACAAGCGTGAAGGTAGATTAAAGATGAAAAAGGGATCTCTAACCATTTACCCTGCTGCTATCAAGTGACAGCAGGGATAATACCACCTTGACCTAAAGCCTGGGAAACCCAACAGCTTTTGCATCTTTAAGAGATAAACTGTCAAGGGGGGGCCATTAGGTGGTGCAGTGGATAGAGCACCAACCCTGGATTCAGGAGGACCTGAGTTCAAATCTAGCCTCAGACACATAACACTTACTAGCTGTGTGACCCTGAGCAAATCACTTAACCCCCACTGCCCAAACCCAAAATACAGAAAAACAAAAACAAACAAACAAAAAGAGATAAGCTGTCAAAATAGTAGAGATGCTGAAGTAGTTCTCTCTAGGTAGAAGGAGGATCAGTTACACTGAATTCTCTTTTCTTTCACACATCATAAACTCACATGCTATTCAAACACAGACAAGGAGGTACAAGACTGATATCTCCTTATTACCATTATTGCTAATTCACTGAAGACTAGGTATCAGTTGTTTGCTTGCTAGTCCCACAAAATGAGGACACTGCTTCAAAAAAGATCATTTCAACAAAACAGAATTCTGTTACCAAAAATATGAGCAGTCTTTGGAGCTGGTTATGAAGCTGCTTTTTCACTGATGAATTTCATGGAAATTATTTCCCTATTCAGGGAGACTTAAGTAACTGATATTAGGGTAAGATAAAGGGGGTTTGCACTGACAAAACCAAATGGAAGAAAAAGGAAGGGGATACCTGAATGTCCTTGGAGGTGGTATTTAATATGTTCTAAAGGGATGAACAAAATTAAGTCTGAAACATATGGATCTGCTTATGGAAAGCAGTACTTTACCACGGGTATCAAAAGCCAAATTATTCTATGGCCTTGACCAAAAAATTTTCAGGCAGCACTGTTCTGATGATTCCAAATTACCTTGGGCAGATAGCAGGGTCAAGGGTGGGATAAGCCTTCATTCTAGCATCCAGAAACAGCAATTCTGGTGAAGAAGAGAGTGTGTTCTCTGGTACGCTGTCTTATTAGTACCTGCAATGTACTCTGACCATATGAGTATTAAATCTATTTCCCTTCATGATCACAGGGAACCTTAAAATTAAGGATCACATAGATGAGGTGTAAGACTATTACAAGTAAGCTCAAGGTTAAAGAGGCAGGCTGGGACATCTGGACTAGCTTGTTAAAGTTTCTAGGCTTCTCTGATTCTAACCTCTTACGTGACAAGGAAGGAGGGAACCATGCTAGGAATTCATTAGTAAACATTTGGGGTTAGGTTAATAAAAGCTGGGAGGAGAAAGAAAAAAAAGGGAAAAAAACTAGAGCTGCTTCTACGTAGACAAAAGGCAATTGGAAACATTAGGATTTCTTTCCATATCTTATTAGAATTGAGCTATGTCAGATAGTATCTGACTTGGGACTCCTGTGAGTGTAATCTTAGAATAATCTGGCCAGGGACAGACAGGGCCTTGAAGAAAATACAGCCACATATTTTGGGGGTAGTGTTTAGTACTACATCAAGGTCCCTATCAATATTAACAAAGATGAGTTGTGTACTTTGACTGTGGACTGTACAGCAAAATGAGCTCTACCAATGCTGTTCCCCCTTGGGATCATGACTGTAGAAGACGACAGGAAGAATTAATACTTCTCTACTTCAGATCTAGATAACTGCTTAAACCTCCATGTTTCTAAGGAAAAAGTAGTGCCATTTTTCATACAACCAGCTAACATAACTGAAATGTGGGGGCCATGGGCAGCAGTTCTTTAGTCTCTACTTAATTGTAATCTTATTAAGGGTCTTACCCTTAGCTGACAGTGAAGTCAATGAGCTACAGAATATAGAAGGGTAAATGCAGTCAGGGTCACTACTTCAATAGTTGCTGCTGACTCAAAAAAAAATTCCACAGACTCCTACCATTGGTATCTTGCTTTGTAAATATATCTATGTCCATCACCCCATCATCTGGTAAAGTGCATTTTGCATTCTTGCACTGGCCTAAATTTGTCATGCAAAGGTGGTATCAGAATCAGGTTCCTGACTCTTCTAAAACCCTTAGCATCTAATTCAACTCACCTCCTCCTACAGATGAAGCAACTGAGGCTCGAAGAAAGTGTGATTTCCTTCAAGGTCACACAGTTAGTGGCAGAGTCAGACCTAAAATAGATTAACGACAGCCAGCTTTACAGGGGCCTTCATATACATTGTGTTATTCCAGCCTTATCACCGTATGAGTTGGACACTATCAAATTCCCATTTGATAAATGAGGAAACTGAGGCTTCGCCATTAAGCTGTTTGTCCTTGGTCACACAGCTCATCTTAGAAACAGAACTCAAAGTCGGGGGTCTCTTATTGCTATGTCTAGCCCCTTGCCCCTCGACCACAGTGCCTCTCTCCCAAGTTTATTCTACATTTCCAATATTTTTTAAACTATTCCCACCATTTTAGTTTTTATATCACAGGATACAAACTAAAATGCTATTAACTGGAATGGTCTAAACTGCCAAGTTTTGGAGAGGAGGAGTTTGTTGGTGAGGTGTGGAATCCTAAATTATTTGGCCCCCAATCCAGGGTGCAGCTTACATAACTACTCTAAGGAGACTAGGCTGGCCATTAAGCAACTGTATTTTGAACAGGTTTATTGAGCAGATCTCTTTAGAAAACAAACAGCAAAACACAGACAAGGTACATGAATACACAGTGGATATACTAGGGAAATTCCCCTATGCTCCCTACTGCATGTAGAAAACCAGGCAAGATGGAAAAATCGTTCTAACTATATTTCATGCACACCAGACTGCAAAAAGACATCTGGAGCAGTCTAACAGGGCTGCACCATACAGGCACAGGGCAAGGCAACAATGTATAACCCCAAGCATTAAAGAGCTAGGCCTAGTTTCATTCTTTAGAACCTGTACCACAAAGTTTCTTGACTAGTGTCTCCTGGTATATATCTTCACAGTTATTTACCAACACTCCCACTTTCTTGGCATAATGGATGTTAAAATGCTCTTCTGTGCCTTCCTTTGTATATTAAGTGGACAGCTGGACAAGATGCCCATCACTCACTTCAAATAGCCAAGTGGTGACTTCTAATTAGGACAGACATTATTATGAATTCTGAAAACTTCTGGGTTTACATCCTGCCCTGACTACACAGGGTTCATGCCTTTAAAAAAGAGCCACGAGTACTTTTTGGAACCATAAACCTCAAAAAACTAGTAATTTTATTGCAATGTCATAACTTAGGGAGCCATCTTCTTCTGATAAGCATGATGTTTCAGCACTGACTCCAATCCACAACTTGTCTTACTAAGAGGCCCATGACCTTCCCGAATGTTTGAGGAAGCAAGACAACCTGGACAAGAGTTTGGCTTCTAGAGTTCATGGTCCCTGCAATTCAAACCTTTATTTCCTTCCCCTAGCTCCCCTGGAGCAAAAAATATTCAATACCAGAACTGTTAAGATGAAAAAAGGGCCTACTGCATTATTTCAAGATGCTGGCAGGGAGCAGCTTTTAATTAGTAAACTACAGACTTCTTCAGCTTCTGTGAACATGGTAAAACAAGACCATTTTAAAGAATAGAGGTTTACACTCCTCGAGAAAAATTTCCCCTAACCTGTTTGCAAAACTGTGCAGCCAAATAAATAAAATGCTCAAAAGTTAAATGAGGGCTCCAACCTTAGTGGTGATATGAGTAGCTGCAAAAAGTCAAAGAAATGTCTTACCTGTTAAATAATGTTTTCCCTTGTACCAACCTCCTTTCCCTTAGGTGCTGGGAATTCTTTGGTGGTTACAGGGGAGAAAGAACATCTACAACTGAGTAGGTGTGTGTCTTAAATTTCTTCCTATCTGCGCAACATGAGGATCATAAAGAGCTCCCGCAGTTACAGATGTGGGCAGAAAGCCAACATGAAGATAATGGAGAGAATAATATTGACTGAAATAGCAGGTCACACTATGAGACGCTGACTTATCAACCATAATCAGTCTTGTTATTCATAACTGTTTATCCAATGGAACCCAGACACTTCTGCTCATTCTTTCCTTACAATTAAATACTTATTTAGCCCCTCTTCTAGAAAAATGGGAGTAAGAGTGGTTGACAAAACTGAAAATAGTTTTAGAGAATGCTAAAATATTGATTAGAAATGCATTCAGTGTTTCACCCTGTTCCCACTGTCATTACCATTACCCTTGCATTCCAAATAGACACTGTTGACAATTCCTTTGCTTGAGATGCTCCATCTCAAGAACATGGTAACTAATGACATTTTTCTACTTTCTTTTTTTTCTACTTACATTATCAATGCAAATCACTTAATACATATTTTCAATTTTCAGTCACTGGAAAAACTGACCTCCCAAAGAAAAAGGTCTCCCTTTGACCTATGATGAATGATTAAGTGTTTCATTTCCAGTCTTGTACAGGCTTATAGTTTTTAAAGGATTTAGAAACTACTTAAAAGAGTCATCATCCGATTCACAGATAAACTACTTTGAGCATACTTTGAGAAGAATGGCATTAAGAGGTAAATTCAAATTTCTCCATTGATGTGTAAATCCTTTGTTCCTAGGAAGGGAAGACTGATTTCCAAATGAGAAACAGGTGCCTTAATTTTAAAGCATTCTGTAAATATAAGTCATTATTTTACTTCGGGGACAAAGACAGCTAGATGTGCAAATAGTAGATGACACAAAAGAATTTTAAATAGACATTCCAACTATCATATGTCACCAAAAACTAAGTCCCTAAAATCTGACGCCAACACCACCCCCTCTAAAAAAACAGACATAAAAATTCCAGTTTTGCCAAAAATTGGACTAAACCAAGCTGTCCAGCTAAAATTCTGAGTGAATGTATGTGGTGTGATTATAAAACAATGGACTAATTTCCCTAAGCCACACATGTAAATCTGTCACACTGTTCACACACCTATACATATTGATAACCTACGCCCAAATCCTTCT